AGTCATACATTACTCTGTGTGACACATTCTCCGTAAATTCCAGACATAGTTTTGTCAGACATGCAACTATTTTGAGTGACTAAACAAATTACAGCTGAATAAAGTGTCAAAGTGTTTCAAACTGCTGTTCCTAATATAATTTATAATGTTTAAATATGACGACTCCTGAAAGTCGTCCTCTGCAGACAGATAAGAGACTAAAAATTCTGTGTTTTAACCAAGGTTTAAAACATTAAAACATAATTTCTTCCAGGTTGTTTCAGGAAGTGGTCCTTCTTCAGATGTGCAGAAAGAAATGTAAACAGACTCATCTTCAGATGCAGCTGAAGAAAGTGATTTGTTTTTAATCAGTCAAGACAGATACAATTAATGTTTTAAGTTACAGAAGTCTACTGTTAGCATCTCTCTTCCTGGAACCCCATGGATGCTGAGAACTTTACTGAAGCCCTCTTTAAAATTTCCCAATTTGTGCAGGTAAGACCTCTATTTGAGCAAACAAAATAAAGTGTTAGTCATCCTAAAAAATATATTTTTATACTTGTGCTACAACTGACATTGCATTCCTTCAGTTTGACAAGGGCACTTCAGTGGTGTTCTAAAAATACTTCAAAAATGACTACTGGAGATTTGACAGACATACCACAAACCTGCTGATCCCTAACTCCCCTTAACCATATGGCCTGGATATACAGGTTCCTGCTGGTCTGTGCTAATAGCACTTTGAATAAGCAGTAGTGTATGAAATGAGGATTTTAAGGACCACTTTAGCACTGGAGTCACCACAGCAATCTCAAAAGCCCTTGTAGCTTTTACCCAGCAAGATGTGGGAGTAGTATGTTTTGTGTGGCCTATAATTTCAGAGAAAGTGGTCAGAAGATATCAATTCTTAGGTAGTAGTTACTTACCCTACGTCCGCTTCTACTGCTGTTTGCTTGGGCGTGACCCTATTGCAAGGCTAGAATTAGGTGTCACATTTGTATGAAATGACAGGTTCATAAGATTATTGCACAGGTATAGCAGTATACATAATGGAAGGTGTTCAGTTACTGCAGCTCTTTAATAAGGCAGAATTAATTAACCTGACTTCTGATTTCTCTTATTGTGTGACAAACCAATAAAAAGACTAACAGTATATAAAAAGTGTGCTTAAAAGTGTAGCATTTACACCAAGCGATGATACATCAAAATTGTACAACAAACAAATAAGAATTCATTAATAATATTGTGTACAATTTTGATCACAAACATTTACAAAAAAAAAAAGATACTGTTGTTTTGGAACCAGTCCAGAGAATAGCAACCAGATAACTTCAAAGGCTTAAAGGAATGTCCTGTACTGACTGAAAGAACTGAAACTCTGTTGTATAACAGTGAAGACTACAGAGGGGCATCTTCAGAATGAACAGTACAACTCAAAACAGAGGACACCAGTGGAAACTACATAAACTAGCACATAAACTGCTGAACAGGCATTTCGATCGAGAAGGAACCACATCTTTATACAAAGGGTTGTGGGAGACTGGAACAAGCTCCCCAGCCATGTTGTTGCAGTCAATATTCTGGTTTCTTTCGAAAAAACAAATAAGAGCCTCAGATCAATTAGCTATTAGCAACCAAACAGGCTAGATGTGCTAGCATTCCTCCTCCTATCTGTTACCTTTCTTATTTACATACTGTATGTTGTTATTTATGTGAGAAAGGAAGGGAACAGCGGCAGACAGCTAAATCCATTTACATCTCCTAGCTGGTAAGATTTACATGTAAGAAGGTGTACTAAATGATTTCAAGTAGTCAAGTATTAATGAACTTTAAATGTACAACACAAGAATTCACACTCCAATAGCAACAAAGCAGTCCATTGCTGCTACAGCAGTAGAAAAAACAGACGGTCCCCGCTACATCACCAGGCTCAGAACTAATGCCCAGGAAGGCCGGCTATTACTTCCCTCTGCCTGACCCACTGCAGTCACCACGGAGGTCAGGTGGGCAGGAGGTGGCGTCTGCAGGAATGTGGCAAGTCTACATCCAGCAGCATAAGAAGAAGGCTGAGGAAAAGTAAGGGCCTGATGAAATATCTAATGTGCAGCCACTTCGGCACACAAAGGGTGACTTTTATAGTGTGCAGGCCTGCCGTGGTGATGCATCAGCAGGAAGCTTGGGTGACACTGATGAAGCCATGTTGACAGCGGACTGCCACCACAGAGTGGATCACCCCAGGGGCTGATCAGGATCTTTGACCTGGCCCCCTTTTGTCACTAGCTACTCCCCAATCCCTGGGGAAACATCTACAATACAATGCCTGGTCTTATTATGAAGACCCGACAATGTAATTTTGTGGTTTTGGCCATGCTGCAAAATAAGAGCTAGAAATGCTGAAAGAAACAAGAAGAAATGGGACAGAGTAGTATGAATACCAACCTTTTTGCTCAATAGTGACGAAATGTTAGTTAAAACGTCTTCTTTCAATGCACACCGCACAAGAAGAAAGCAAACCAACGCTTGAGAATATTGCAGTCTGACACCTTGGAGGATGCAGTTTCAAATAATGCATCACCCTTAATCACAGCTTTCAGAAATGTGTGTGCATATAGAAAGGAAGCAGAATACAAGTGGAGGCAAAGTGGTATTTAGAACTAACCCTGTTTGTGAAGTATCCCAGATTATTTGAGTTCACAAAACAAACAGTGCTGCACTATTCACTCATCTATTGTGGAACTCTTAGAATTTAAGGTAATTCTTAAATATTTGCGTATCCTGTTCTTTAATCACAACAAAGAAGGGTTTGGAAAGAAGAAACTAAGAGGAAAAAAAAGGCATCTACTGGATCATTTCCAAAGCTCGGTTCACATAAAAGTAGAGTCAATTCCTACTCTAGCTCAATGCAAAGCCATTTCCTGATCCTGGTGTTGAGTATCCTTTCAGAGTATTCCTTTCAGCCACTAGGCTGCCAATCTATTGTTCACTTCTGTTAAGATGGTTCCATCTTAAAATTCAGCATAACTTTCCCTGGATCTATGTTTTCCTTCATGAAATGGTTATTCTTTCTTCTGTCATCCAAGATCACACCTTTAAACCTGGACATTATCTCCCTCTTGTTCCCCAGAATAATGCAGAATTCAATCCCCAGCACCCTGGCCACATAAACAACAGACTCAATACAGCATGTTGCGCATTGTCATTTAGATTATTTTGATTTGGCATTCACGCAAACCAGATAAAAAATCCTACATAATACTACAGCAATGGTAAGTGTCCTGGGCATTGTTTTTATTAAGTCTGCACATTTCAGCCTGGGTATGCTGAACTTTCATGCCATTTAAACTGCTTACATTCATACACTGAGGATACAGAGCAGTTCCAAATTGTAGATGTCCATCGAATCTTATAATCACTAAAATGGCACATTACACAAAAGAGAACAGAAGTCTATTTTCTTTATACAATGCACAATCATAATTACTACAAAAGTTAGCCATCGTTTTGCAAAAAACATTTTTATGTTTTCAGATGAGCCGCAAAAAAAAGGCCATTAGCCAATTGCCATTGATTAATTTAGGAAATTGATCATGTGTCAATATCACATTGCTCCAGTGACTGAGATAGGAATCACAGTGCTGAACTATGATGATGGAGATTTCCTTCCTATTCAGAAAATAATTGAGTAGGTCTCTGTAATCATTGATGACAGCTATATTTTCGCCAACTTTCAACAAGATTTGATAAATCAAACACACTTTTTGAATGTTATACACGTAACCACCGTTTTAAAAAAGGTGCAACTCTCAATAAGCGACATGACAAACAGTGCCCCCAGTGGAGCATTTTTCTTAGTTAAACCAAAACTAAATTCCTGAAGTTGTATTTAGAAGACTGAAAACAACAAGTCGGGGAGTGCAAATTATTTTACGGTGAAGCCACATTTTCATAGGGCTTTGAATAAAAAATATCAGCAAAGGTTGCCCTACCGATTTCACTGCCCTATGTGTAATCCCGTGATTTTCAAAACGAGATAATGTGACAGCCGCTTGCTGTCTACAAATGTATGTAGATTAAATGACTGGCTTCAGGTGTTTCTACACGCCTTTTCCAAAATATCACTATCACTGTTTTTCCCCACACTGAAAAAAGACTCCTCATTTCACATTTTTGATACCTTAACTCAAAAGACGCTATTAGTTTACTGTTGCTTTACAGTATTAAAGTCATTTTAAAATAAGAAAAAATATATTTTCAAGTCACACTTAAACTACAGGTCTGTGGTTTTGCAATCTTAAGGATTTGCAGTTTATAGTCTTCAATTGTAATAAACACGCTTTGAAGATAATTTGAGAACATAATGATTCTACTGGATAATATAATTATATAATTCGCAGTTTCAATCAATTAAGAATAATTCTACTCGACTGTTGTAACTCAGGTGATGGATATTAAAATAAATGTTATATTTACACGTTTAATAAAACAGACCATCAAACAACAATCGTTTCATAGTAATATCTGTACCATCTCGTTAATACTAGTACACCAACTGAACTCTTGACTGTATTCTGTCCTTGACAGCTAAATGACTTACAACACTACAGACTTTGAATATTTCGAAAAATAATAACTACGAATGCACCCGCATTCGACTCGATAGACAAACTTTTTTTTTACATATCGTAGGATTTGCAACTGTGCAGCAATGCCTTTGCCCATCAGATGAGTAAGCCTAGCGAAAAACTGCACCCGAGCAAACTGGCACAAGCTTTAACTTCAGTTTAAACTATCTTCTTCCACAGGTGATGGTGCGCAAAGACTCAGATACCAAGAACAGGACTTTTGCGAAATCAGGTTACACAGCCAAACGAAAAGCTCGCATTTATAGTGTGAATCGAGAATTTCAAAAGCCGTTTGAGTCCATTACCCGTTCTAGTAATCGATGACCAATTACGGTTGTAAATAAAACCGACCTGACATAAGAGATAAGATGAAAGAATTGGAAAGGAATCGAGCCTTACCTCCGTGAGCACGATGTCCTGTTCTCTGTTCAAAGACGTCGCATTCCCCTGTTGCAGAGGACTGCTCCGTAGCACAGTGATGTGCAACGTTAGGAGAAGGAGTCCCAGTAATAGTAACAGCTCGGCCGCCAGCCGAACCATCCTTTTCACCCGGCCGGTTTTGGGACCCTGAGGTGGAGCTGGGGCTCCACCGCCGCCTCCTGCCGCTGCAGAGACTCCGATCTCCGGATCCGCCGCGGACGAGGAGCCGCAACACCACTGTGGAGCCACTTCGGGATTAGAAAATACAACCTAAAGAAAAATCAAAGGAGGTGGTGGTGGTGGTGGTGTGGGGAGTGGGGGGGAGACGCTGAAGTAAATTGGTGCTGGTTTTCCGAACCTGCGGTGTAACTTGGGGGGGGGGCGAAATTCCCGTAGTTTTCAGCATTTAGTCCAGCAATTTCAAAAAGTTCAGTCGTTTCGTTCAGCATTTACAACAGCAATTTCAAAAACGAATTAGAAAAACATTTCCCCTAACATTACCCTTTATATTCGCTTAAAATACGTTATGCATGATTTTTGGTTCCTTTGACATTGCTATAGTAGAAGCTGTGTGAAGTGCAGCTAATATTGTCTTAGTTTAGAAGCAGTTCAGGGAAAAAAAATAAATCAGAAGCCAGATAGGAGCGAAAATTCCTGGTGTACTATAGCAGCACAGGTAGTTCAATACACACAGCAATAGTGATTGTAACAAGCAGCTAAGACGTGTGGGCTGGTATTCAGTGGAGTCCAGGTAAAGTTCACACATCCCCGCAACCAAGCGACATTTTAGGTGCAGTCCTGTTCATCTTGTGGCTGTGCCACATTCCTCGTTGCCTTTTAGTAATGCCTTTTCTGTACAATCGGATTTTCTTGCTCTTCTTTCTTTCATCCCTGCGGCCGTGTCCTTGTTATTTTGAGCACATTTCAGTTTACTGAAATTGTAAATGCATGATCAGTGTTTTAGTATTCTGGTTTATATCCTTAATTACTTTTTTTTTGTAAAAGAAAATGCACACTTTTCAGAAATAGAGTTTCTCTTTCGTAGTTGAATCTGCCAGTTTGTTATCAAACTGCATCTAGAAAAATGCAGAATTCAGTGTTTCGGAATTCCTCCCTCCTGCCGCACGCGGTTAAACTAAGTAGTCGATGTGTGCTACTCGCAGTATGTGTACAACTGCGGCGTGCGCTACACTACGTATTAGCAAACGACTCCACTCCACACTATTTGTATATGACTGCTCTCTGTAATGTTTTTATACTCCTCTCTGCTGGTTTGCTGTCAACTACCCCTCCCCCTGTCGTTAACCCTTAATTCCCTGTTGCACCTCCTCTCCTGTTCGCGACTGTCACTGTCCATTGCCAAAGTTACGACATCAAGATAAACACTACTCCTTCTTTCAGCCTGGTTTCCAGCGGCATTGGTTAAATGCGTGCATTGCTACCTCATAAGCATTAATCATTCTTTCGAACAATACACATGGTAAACAACGTTTCCCGTTATTATGAGTTATTGTTTTAGTTAAAAAATAAGACTTTTTTTCTGTCAGTAAATCGTAAAGTATCTCGTAAGTAATCGGCAGAATTATGCACATTTTTATAGTTTCTTTAAAAAGTGTGTCAGGGCTATGGGAAGGCAGGACTATTTTCAAAGACTTAATCTTAAATCTAAACACTTTCATCCTTACAATAAGCAATCCCTTCCGAATCCTAATGAAGTGGATAGGATATTCAGTCATTGGTACAAAATAATGTGAACCACAAAAGAACATGTTAGGGATCTGAAGTATTTTAATGGTCTATCTGGAGTCTAGCTAAGTGTCACTTACATGGACATCCATCAGTTAAAAGGTAAGGTAACAAAAAAGTGTGTTTGCATTTGTAGATTTAATTTACTATGACCCAGACAGCTGCATGACAAGACCTGGCTCTGCTTGACACCTTTTTTATTGTGTAACAAGCAAATGGTATTCCATGTTTGATCACCTTGTTTTTGTTTGAGCTGTTTGTTATGTGCTTCAAAGGATTTAATTCTGGTGCTACATAATAAGCATGGCTTGCTGTTTTAGATGGAAATACCTCATTTGGAAATCCATTAGCACCCAAGACGTGGAGCCAACAAATGGTCATTGATAAAGGTGTTTCAGCTGCCACTTTCAGCTATTGCCAACATTGCCAGCTTATGGAAACATATTTTGGTACACAAAACGTCATTACATTTGTATCAACAGACACAGGAAATCTTTCATTCCCAATGCAATTACACTCTTAAACAATGCAAAGTAACTACCTTGTCTCTTGTTTCCTTTCTCCTGTAACACGACTGTATTCTCTTCCCTTTTGATGATATTTGTCATTGTGTTGTGTTTGACTTGACCGTAAAACATATTTCCCCTAGGGGACAATAAAGCTTGACTTGATAAAGGAATTGATAAATCAAGGCATGAACCGATGAAACTGTGGAATGAGAAATGGACAAAATATAATTTCCTGTTAGTATTCTTGGAAGCTGCTTATTAAAAATAGCAGGACTGAGGATGCTGCTGTGCTGGTGTGTATTCATCGGAAGCAAACAGAAACTTGAAAATGTAAACTTTAAAATTAGGAAGACCTCCGAGTCTGCAAGTGTTGTTTCGTTGGTCACTTAGACTATTTTATAACAGAAACAGTTGATTAGTTAATTTGTGAGCCTACCTTTTTCCACAGAAAACAAGCAAGTTAACCAAAAATGGATAAAGAATTAAATTTAATTATTTGTTTGCGGAAAACTAGACTCCATGTACAGTATGTACCTGACCCTAATTCCAACATGTCTTTAGCAGTATTGTATAGTTCTTGAATGTCAGCAGTGAGTCATTATTACTCTTTGTATGACAGTGCCTGCTATCTAGACAGAAATTAAAAAGACCTGTTACAGCAGTGGAGAGACTTTGCTCATAAAAGTGTCAGCATTGTTTTTTCCCCCTATAAATTAAAAAGAATGTCAGAGGAGAATGTACTTCGTAAATTACACATGGATGAGTCTTGACTCAGGTTTGAAAACCTATGTTCTGCATTTCATGGAGCCTTGTACTCATGGGTACTGTGCCTCTGGTGTAAAACTAGAGCACCTTTACAAGATGCTATGAAGCATCGGTATGATCCACAGTATGAAAACCAGGACAATTTCCTCGACAGACATCCAATGAAGAGCAATGATCTTCTTAAAGGGACATGTTTCTTTCATAAACTGCAATGGTGAGAGGAAACAGGCATAACTGGAGGGCAGGGAGCATGTGGTACAGCTGTCAGACACGCCTTAAAGCTTTTGAGCTTTTATTTGAAATGTATGAAGAATTTGTCGGCATTTTTTAAAGTGAATAGACATATACTGTACTTGGTTGTACTTGTGTTAGATCACTCTCAGCAATGCATACGTTTCACATGCATTAATACATTAAAAAAAAATATGGCACAAGTGTATCAGCCTGAGCTCCTGGATATTGTCTTAAAACACCCTCTGAAAAAAACCTTCAAGCAGACAGAAAAATGGATGGATGGATCTGTGTGAAAGAGAAACATTATACATTAAATTCCAAGAATCCATGACTCTGCAGCTACTGGAAAACTTCAAAGTATTAGTGGAGTTTCATAGGCCATGGTAACAACAACATACAATTCCAATAAATGTCTGCAGTTTGAGGCTCACACATAACAGAGATGAAAAGAGTTGTGAATGAAAACTCTGGTGGCTGTACTGCTCACATTGAAAGGAGCAAAGGCTGGTCAAACAGATGTTTCCACAAATAGTCTTCCTCGATGTTTCCAATAGAATCACCCTCTTTGAAACACTGGAGAAAATTTGTTAAAACATCTGTTAACCAGACACAGCCCCCTTTGACATTATATATGGTCTAACTGACTACAGGCTGTGGACTTCTGAAAAGAGCCCCAGTCCTTCACCCCCTTATTCCAAAAACTCATGTGTTTTTCACTTGCTTTAAGTTATATCTTCCCTGTAAAGTTGCCTTGAGAAATTAAGAGAAAAAATAGACATTGAGTTGGTAGGTGAAGTGATTTACTCTTTGAATGAAATCTAGTGCCTGGAATTTATTAGAATCTGCACTTTAAAGAATATAGCTACTTTATTCCACTTCCACTTAAACCTTGCCAAATATATCTGTCTTTTTACTTTTCAGAGCCGCAGAAGTTCATGAATTGAGAACAGCTACCAAGTTACATAAAAGGCAGAGAATTAGTTGATATAATAACCCTTCACTTTCTGCCCAAAACAGAAAATGTTATTATTTTGAAAAGCATACGATGAAGTACAAATTCATTCTCAGTGATTCAGACATCTCTCTTCTTATTTCTCTTTCAGAAACATTTTACGATGCAAACAGAGCGTTTCTGTCCAAAAAGTTAAGCATGGGAAGCAAATGTGTTAGTGAGAATGCAGGTGGCTTTTTGAGTGTACAGTATGATTAGAAATACAAGATTATTATCTCAAATTTAGGACATAAATCTCTGGCTGCTTTAGCTCTGCTACATATAATAAATAATTTTCCTGTGGGACACTTTGTGACTGGGACATGCTGAGTTGACAGTAGGGGCAGCATCCACTAATTCAGGCTTTGATACAAATCTGATCTCAGCAGGAGATTAAAGGAGACTCACAGACCTTAATTTTCCTGCTGTACTTCTGAGGAGAGCATGTAGTCAAGTAACATTGAAACTGGGTTTTCAAATGGGCAGAGTTTTTTTGCTTTTCATTTTTGCAGCATTTCAATAGTTTAAGCAGATTTGGTGAGTAATTCCTGCTTTTTGACTGTTCATCAGTATCGATTTGGTGAGAGAGGAAAAAAAGGAGAATGTACATGACATTAGTGAAATCTGTTTAATCTGTCACTGACCTTTCTTTATTACAATGAGACTCTGACATCAGAAAATGTTCAAATACTTTTTAAAGTACTCCCACACTTGGCGCTGTCTATATACTCCAGTAATATGGCATATATAAACTAGCTCAGGAAAGATCAAAGGTTGACCATTACTCTGCTTAAGACATCAACAGCAGTGCAACCAAATTAAGTCAAATTAATAGAAGCTGAATTTAGTAGTTTGAACTTTTTTGAAAAACCACATTTATCAATGTCCATGCACTCATTTTCTAACCACTTTTTTTTATCCAATATAGGGTTGTGGGGAGCCAGAGCCTATCCCAGCAAGCAGTGAGTGAAAGTCTGGACAGTGTGCCCGTCACATACTGTATATGTCAATATAAAACAAAAAATGAAAATAAAAATGACAATTCAAAAAAATACAGAAAAGGCAGAAATAATATCTGGTTTGATCAAGCATACACGTTAAAAAATGTCCTTCAAAGATTTTGTATTACTGAAAAAAAAACTATTTAAAAAAATGCCCTAATATGCAAAACCGAGCCAGAATACACAACACAGCTTTGAAGTGAGTCCATGGAAACCTGTGAACCTTCTCCATTTGGGCAGGATGTTACTCCTATTTAAGTAGCCTCTTGTCTCTTGATCAGACAAGATGGAGTGCTACCTCTTGCTGGGTATGTTGATACCACAGTCCTGTGAGTTTAAATGGTAATAGATCTGGCACTACATTGTGGTATCAGATCAAAGACATCTTTGATAGATCATGGTTGCTTAAAAAAGACAAAGCTGCAGATGTAACTTACCAACTGGCAGTATTGTGCCAAAACTGCACTGGTGTGAAAAAGGGTCTCGTTATCCGCTGGGCCATGTATTAACTTGATAGATGCTGATATATTTGACTGTGGTAATGTGGGAAATCCAATATACAGCACAAGTACAAGTGCATGTAGAGTTGCCCCAGCTGTGGGAATGGGCTGTCTTAACTGTGTATTTTATCCATGCAATACTCATCAGATAAAATAAATATTTTTACAATGAAAAGTCTCATGGAAAAATTACTGTGCAATTAGAAAACTATTCATATTTAAGAAGAAAATAAGTCATTACTGATGGCGGTAATGCTAAAAAAACTGGAAGTTATTAAGTAAATAATGTGTTTCAACTGTGCCTTCAACATCAGGCTTATTTTATTCCTACTTCTCATGAAAAACTAACATTTTCATGCCAAAAGTATTCTGGCATGGTTACCTCCCCAGCTTCTTTTTTCATACTTGCAGATGGAAGTTGTACATTAAAAGGTTGGAAAAAGGACATTTTAAATTTAGAGATGTAAAGTTAAATTATATTGCTGGCCATTCAGAAACATTTACATTATTGAAGATGAACACTATGTCTATGTCTGTACTTTTTTCCCTGCTTGAACCAATATTTTCAGTTATACCATTACATAGTTTGTCTTTTTATGCATTTATGCCCATTTGCGTGTTTATTTTTTACTTTAGTCTTACCTTATATAATTTAAATATTTAATTGATTTTTCAGGCTTTTAAATTACATCTGTTGGACAGAAACAAGCCATTCCAGTCTGATTTCTTGCATTTTATCAGATGGCTGCACAATTCGGACATATTCCAATGGTTTTATGCTCCACTTACAGTATCATTTCATTCATATCCTGTTCTTCTCTGTTGTGTGGACAAACACCATTGCTGTTATCACAATTCTTCACATATAAAGTAAAACACTACTGTCAGGAAAAAGCCATTTTTGAGAGACTACAAATATTAATGAGGTCCGAACTGCATCCATTCAGTATGTTTTTGTTATTCTGTTTTATACTTTGCCACCCAGAACTGAGAATGCAGAGTGCAGTATGATTTATGTAGCTATAAGCTGAGGTCTCTTTCCATCTTTAATCATCGGTTGTGGAACTGGAGTCTAGGAACAAAGCAGATGAGATATGCAAATCAGATGGGATGAATATCATGTTTTATCCTCATGACAAAATGTCTTTCTTGAAAAAAGATATCAAGACCAGATCACCCAAAAAGAGCCAGTAGCTAAAGGATATCAGTGTTTCAATTGATGTAAAAACTTTTGATCAAGATTTCCTTCAATCTTTTTAAATGTATTGCTAAAACATACCTTCAAAACCGCAGAATTCTTTAGGTGTGCTGAACTAAAATTATTCCAGTATACAGGGTTTTTACTTCTGTCTTATTATAGTTGGTTCTACTGCTATAATGTGTTTGTTTGATCGTTAAACACACAAGACAAAAATCTATACAGAATATAAAACATGCAAAGACAAGAAAAAATTGACAGATTCTGAAATGTTTATTATCTGTCTAAATTCCTTCCAAGATTAATAAAGATTACCCCATACCTTAAGAATTCTAAGATCCTCAATAATTGGTAGTTGAAGTTAATGTTGGCACATAGTATACATACCCAAAATGTTAAAGTTCATGAAAGCAAAATATTTTACATAAACACTTCTTGGACTGCAATATTTTAAGCAGTTATGTCTGCATGAGGAGGAATGGCTAAATAAGAAATGTTTCAAAAGTTATCAGAGGTTGCTTTTCCTGATCAGGGTCTCAGTAAAACAGAGATTATCCCAGAAGCACTGGGTGCAAGACAGGACTGAGAAAACCTGAATATTCTCTCCCTGGACAGGGTGCCAGTCCATCTCAAGACAATGGAAAAAAGGGGCAATCTGAAATTACCCAGATAGCATGACTTTGGGAGATGGGAAGAAACTGGAACATCTTGAAAAAAACACCATGCAAAACACAGGTTAAACACACAGGCCTCTTTATCAGACACCTGAGGAAGAAATTAAGCCCTGGACCTTGGGGCTGTGAGACAGCTGCTTTTGCTACCTCACTCAACCCATACAATAAAGTATAATTTCATAAAAGTATTTTGTATATAAACTATATATATATATTACTCTCAGTAAAGGTCAATAAAGAAATTGCTTTATATTTTAGTTTATAGGCAAATCTCCTTTCTGAATTAAGATACTTTTACCACGTGTCTTCATGTTTTGCATGTTGTGCTAAGGAGCCCTTTGGAGATCATCTTTTTCCTTTAACAACTGAGGAGAATTTTACTTTCATCTGTGCACAATATGGTTGCTTCCAGCAAGCCTACAACTGCTCAACAGGTGTTTGCTTTAGACTTCATACCTCTTCAAATAACAAACAAAACCCAGTAATTAAACGGCATATTATGCATGATGTTATTACAAAACTGAAAAAGAGATATGTAAATATATAAAACCAACTCATAAACAAACAGAAATGCAAGTGCTATTAACAAGTGGTCGACAATGCAGATGAAGCCAAACATCTTAGTGTATGTATTCATATTAATAAATGTTGAACATTGCATATTAAAATGAAATGTCTTATTTTAGGTTTTTGAGACCAGCTGTGGCAGCAGCACAGTGCTGTCATTCCAAAACCATGAACAAGTAAAGGTTAATTCCTCACTAAACATACAATAGCAGAAACACAGTATTTTGGCTGTCAAGCCTTCTTCAGGTCATCAAACATTGTGATTCTCCTCTCTGCTTTTCCAGCATGGAACTAATCTTTACCTGTTCCCTTTGTAGCCAAAGTACTGTATGTTGAAGCAGCTCACACATCCAAGACCAGGGATGTTCTATTAGTAGTATAACAGCAAAGCCTGACAAATTAAACAATCACGTTTTTATACCTGAATCAATCCCTGTGTGACAATGGAATACATGTCTAAAAATGTCTTTCTTATTGTACACCTGATATTTTGATGGCTCACGTGAATCCTTCATTTTTTGTTCTTTCACCCCTTATGTCTTGTACTTCATCAAATATCTAAACAAATAATTAGAAAACTAAGTTAAGGTAAGCTGAAAGACAACTTCAGTGCTTTAAATGTTTCTCTGTTATTTGGTAGAAGGCAAGCTGCCATTCATTTCCTTTTCAATGAAGGTATTACTAAAAATAAATACTAAGTTCCCTTCATGGGAAGAAAACTCATATTTACATTCAGTCTTAGTTTCTCCAGTGCTCAGCTAGAGCTTAGTTTCTTTCATCGTAGAGCTCTGACTTGCTGGGGGGAGTCTTCCGTGAGTATTTCAATGTCAGGTAATCACCCAGCTCATCCAGCGTGTTCAATACCTGAGGAAACAGTTTATACATCAGTGCTGACTACCTGACTACTATTTCATTGACTCTTTCAGCTCACTTTGTAACTTTTAGAAAGTTACATACTTCCATACAAGCACTTCACGTACTTCACATTCTTGGGAGGACTTTCAGTCCGTGCATTTGCAAGGATAGCAAATCCCATTAGGTGAGCTGGTATATTATTACCATGCATTTGCTTGTCCTTTGAAGAAGGAAAATGTCCTTTCCCACTGCTCATTTAAAAGGAGACACCCATCCCCCGCCAGAAGGCCAGCCTGTGTCACTGTACCCTACCTTGTCCAGCATCTCTCGGGTGTGAGCTGCAGACACACAGAACCGGGCTCTGGACTCCGTTATGGGGGTGGCTGGGAATCCCACTACCACCACCCCTATGCCTCGCTTCAGCATTTTCCTGGCAAAGGCCCTGACACGGAGGAAAAACAGAACACGGTTTCTGAGATCAGGGAGTCTGCAGTGAGACACAGTTTTATTTTTTTAATCTAAGCTGTTATAGTCTTGTTGATCTGAAAATCCAGCATATCTTAATCTCAGTTATTTCTAGTGGGAGAGATCAAAGAATGTCATGTGTTTGAAACCTGCTAGAATTGCTCTCAAACAGGCAAGCAGAACATGAAAGTTATTTTCTAGACCTCACCAGTTCCGGTAAGGCAAATATGGTCCCTTTAAATTCTGTTGTCTCAGTTATGTGAAGCCATGCTTTGATTCTAGCTACAATAAAAGCTCATATAAATTGGATTGTTTAATTTGTGGAAGGCTGAGCTTTATGTCCTCCACATAAGAACTGCTTGCAGTCTGTGTTGAAGGAACTCTAGGATGACATGCTGGGGTCTTTTCAGCACAGGACTGGGCTTATCATCTTAGAGTAAATTGAGAATGCTTCCACAGCACTTCAATAAACAGCACTTGGAAAACTTTGTTAGAACAGTTTCCACAGCACTTCAATAATTAATGAGCATGAAAGTGTCTGATAATTTATGTTTGTATAAAAACTGGGATTACATTCCAAATGAAATAAATTGCATTTGTTAAAAAGCACCCCTCCTTTGTAGCCTCAGGGGAATCTGAAATAAGTGAACTGCACAAGGGCAAGGAATCCATCACGGACACTGTACTACACCTGCTCTGAAACAGTTTATACACACTTGCTGTCTGGCCAACTCAGTTTGTTCCCTGTCCAGCATTTTTAAAGCTGTTGTCATTTTTTTGAAAGACTGTAATCCATTCTAAACACAGCAGCTGTGTGACCATATTTATAAACTACACCACAGAGAGAGAGAGAACGATGAGAGGGGATGGAAAAAAGAGCTTCCAGTTTTCACAGAAGAAAAAAACAGAAAACAATGCTCACTGCACTGCTTCGTAAAAACCCTGCAGCTGCTGGTACCTTTGTTGCCTTGCCAGGAGGCTGTTATCTTTGGGTCAGTCTGAAATCCATGCATCAGGATGTGCTTCTCTCATGAAAGATCTTTTTAAACAGCAGCAGAGCTACCCTTCTAAAAGTCGTAAGATCAGATGTCTGATTTAAACTGTAACTCTAATTTTGCTCAAGCTGAGTAACCTACTTTATCTGCAAGACCCTTAAGGAATCATGCAAATATAAAAGAACTTCATGATGTTTTGAAGATGTGTTTGTTTGTTTTTAAGAGGAATGTTTTTGCATGCCAAGAGCATCAATTAAGGCCCTCAAAATGAAACTGAGCTGTATTAAATTACAAAAAAAAGAAAACAAAATAAAATACTGAAATGCCATTATGTTCTGTGACTTAGTAGCTATCTTCATTAGTTGTGCAGACACCAATATATCATTGTTACACTGTTTAGTGGAATTGTGAAAAAAAGTTCAATAAAATCAAGTATGTACATGAAACACTCAATTTTGGGGGGAAGTCAATCTTATTACGGTGAAAACTGTAATTTTCAAATGTCCATATGTTCTGTGATGACAACAAAGATGTATCGGGTAAGAAGAGAATAAAGACTGTGAGAAACCTCATGTGAGGTCATATGATAAGAGCATGCAACAGCCTTTCATCACACTGCGTTTCCTTCCAGCACAGACAGACAAGCCCCAGTTTAAGATATGCAGATCCAGTCAGCATAGGGTCTAATTATGAAGGTGCAGCCAAATGGTAAACCAAATCATGTCAAATAACACCAGGCATTTTAGTGGCACATACTAAGCGTTTCAATAAAAGAAATAATACAAATTGACCTTTCCAATGTTTTTTTTCTGGCACCCCCTTGAGCCAAATGTAGTGATTAATTGTGTTTTGCTTAAAAATCTAGTGTTTCAGAAAGTTTCAAGACCTACCCAACCTTCCCTGGCATGTAAAGTAACAGCGGGACCACAGGAGAGTGCTCATTGCCATAAATGATGAAGCCCATCTCATGCAGCTTCTTCCGGAAGTACCTCGTGTTTTCTGCTAGCTGCTGCACTCTCTGAATGCCTAGGAGAGTCATAACATTCAGTCAGACACCAGAACATGACCCTGGCTTTTAATACTGAAGTATTTACATAGTTAACCTTCTTAAGAGCTACAATGCTTTCTTAAGATCAATTGATACCAAAACACTTTTGCATCGGAACCTTGTTCACATAAACTCTGCGGCATCTTGTACTATGCTTCTGTGAAAGTACCGTCACAATTTATACTGTAAAAATAAAACCTACTGTTCTGTTAAGGATCTGGCTGCCAAAATGGAATTGAAAGGGATTTATTTTTGGTCGGTCATACTCTCTGTATATAAAATAATACGAGTATACGAATAATATGAGCTGACGTCCAAAATAACATTTTAACTTTCAAATTGAATTGCTACACATGGTATGGGACTTTGATATGCTTATAATTATTATACATTTTTATTTTAATTATGAATTATTACTAAACTTAAAATGTTAGAATTAGCAGTGAATCTGTGGGGAATACAACTGCACATTCCCTCCCAAAGGATGGTATTGAAATGATGAATGGGCAACACACTGTGGTTCCCACTTGAGTGAGGAAAACTATTTAGTCCAAACATTTCTCTGGACCTGAACACCCAAGTAGAAGGTAAACATAACAAAAAAAGGTAAGCGGAATACAAAGCAAAGACTGAAATATGCAAACAATATTTCTTACTTTCTTTTAAAATCAGAAATCTGTTTATTTCTAGTTATTGAAACTATACAAATTACAAAATTATACCTAAACAATTACTTTTTTGATTTATTCCAATCATTGGTTAGCCATTTCATTTACATTGCATTTCACATTAAAATTCACCCTTTCCGGGCTTTTCAATCCCTGGTAATCAGGGTCATGTTGTATTAATACTTCAATGACCTAACTGGCTTTTGAAAAAAAAAGCACTGTTTTCACACCTTTAATGGCTATAATAGAAGAGCAAACTTTACCTCAATGGTTACTCAATCTCTGTTAACTGAATTGTATATAATTGCACCTGCTGCATTTCAAGTCCAATCAAGAGATTTTAAGACTGTTCTATCACAGTTACACACAGGATTTCTAAACCCATTTATCGGCATACAATGTTATATTTCAACATGTGCTTTTCTGTCCGTGCAGTTTCTTTTGCTGGACACTTTGTAAGCTCCATGTGGTTACATTTATAACACAGACTGACTCACAAAAGGACATGACTGTTACAGAAAAAAAGGAGATAAAAGGCAAAAATAAAAATTAATAAATAAATACTAGGACTGGATGCACTTTGTTATGAAGAAGGAAAAAATAAATAAAATTAGCACATGTGTGCAACAACACTAAGGAGTGTTTTTGATAACTTGGTGCCATGGAGTAGATTAAAACATTTTCTATAGGCACTAAATCGTCTGTGTCAGCTTAAGCCACAAGTAGCTTTTAACTGGCCCACAGTGCAGTAATGAGAACACTAACATCTGGGGCTGTTAACAGAAACCAGAGAGACAGAGTTCAAAACACCCCATTGATGGCACAGCAATTTAAGCAAAGAAATAAAGCCTTCAGAAACCTGTATCAGAGAATCTGGGCCACAGTGCAGAAATACATGAAAATTTACATTGTTGAAATGATGAAAATGTAAAATGAAAGCTGCTTGTATATTGCTTAAGCATATTGGTCAAAGGCCTTTCAAACATAATTATACATCTACATTAAAAAGGCATCCATTGTTGTATATTATAGGTACAGTATGTGTGTATTCAAAGGGATTAAAAACTAGATCGTCGCTGGCAAATCCTGCACCATCTGGTCATTTTTTTATCTAAATTGAAAACAAAAGTTATTCTTTGGTTTGATGTTGTTCTTTCATGGTACTGACTGTTCAAAATCACTTTTTCTCAAGCATAAGGGGTAAAGAATAGAAAAAAATGATTCCAACAGCTAGGTAGGTAGGACGATTTGGTGAGCTGGTCAAGTTTGTAGATAATACTGTTGAGGCTGAAAAAGAAATCCTATGAGATTTAAAACTGAAGACTGGACAAACACACACAATGTAGATAAGTGCAGAGATTTACAAGCATATAGCAAACACAAAAAATATAGCATTACCTTACATAAGTACAGAAGACAAAAGCATGTGATTATAAAAACAATTGTGAATTTGTAAGGAAAATATAAATAACAAAATATTACAGATCATTTAACAATTTGACAATGATCTGAAAGGAAAACTAAATACTGCATTTAACACTTGTACTACATGTGAAATGGTATGGAATGGTTATGGAAAACATAAAATGATTAACAAAACATTACTGATCATTGACCATAAAATAGCTTAAAATATGCAGATGTACAGTTCTTAATAAAATTTAATAAAAAATGTTAAACTTTCATTATTTTCACATCTGTTCTATGCATTTGTGTCCTGTGTTCTTTTGTTTGGGTCTCAGAATATAGACATGACATTGGAAACTGCAAGTCAAGAAGCTATTAATGAAAAAGTCTTCATCATTAGGCATCATTTATATCTTCTAGGGTGATGGCTCTCAATGCTTGTCCTCATGGGCTGCTGTCTCTGTGGAGCTGTTAATCACTGGTGCTAATGCCTTGTAATAGATCAGCTTGCTCTTTTAGACTTTTGTTTACCTGTTTCTGCAATCTGCAACTTTTTAAAAATAATCTAGTTCAAACATCATGTTTAAACAGCCTCACCATACAGAACCACTTGCAATCTTTTCTGAACCTGTTATTAATAGTTTGCTCCCATATTCCTAACCTCTTAACAGGTGATCAATTGATAATGAACTAACACAGGTGGAAATGATGATGTATCATACACTCCAACAATTACTTTTTTACCTCTTTCTCCTGAAGTCTAATTGGTTACACTTCCAGCGCCACACCCAAATAAAAGGCAGTTCTGAAACTAGGAAATTAGTACAAGGTTGAAACTAATTACAAGTCCCATTTGAGTTTTTTATGAGCTGAAAACAAATTTAAAAATAGGTCCCAAACAGAAATCAGAAATCAATTAGGCTGTGATTAAGAACACAGCTCAAGTAAAAACAAGAAGGCGTAGTGGTCCCTCAGGACCAGTGTCGGGAACCACTGTTTGAAACCCATGTGGAAAAGCAATACAAAAGGCAAACGGAATGCTACTTAAAAATGTAGAATTAAATCAAGGGATGTTATGTTAAATCTTCACAATGCACTAATAGAACCCATTTAGAAAACTGTGTACTGTTTTGATCACCTCTTTATACACATGATATTGCTACTCTGAAATGAGCTGAGAGAGGAGTAACTAGATCCACCCTTAGGAAGACCTCCTTTGATGGGCTGAAAGAACTGAATCTTTTTATTGTTGAACAGAGAAGACTAAGAGGTAATGTGACTGAAGTATTTTAAATTCTCAAGCCATTGATATCAGTATTCAACCTATTGGTCTTCTTCAGAATCAACAGTGAAACACAAACCAGACACAAATGAAGTCTCTGGGCCAGTGCACTTAAAAGTGGGAGCAGGAGGCACCTCTTCACACAAACAGATGCTTGAATAACCAACTAGGCCATGCTGTCAAAGCTGACACCACGACTTCTTTCAAGAAGTGGCTGGATAATCACTTTACTACTTGAAACCAAATGAACTAGATGGGTCGACTGGCCTCCTCTCATTTGTAACATTTCTTATGTCCTTATCTGTAATTAATAAGGACTGTAATTATCTATATTTAATCTGTAATTAATCTATTTATCTAAGTGTTAAATTGCTCACAAGATAAAGTCCACTTAACATCTTCAGAGTGGAGCACTTTTCAAAATCAAGACAGTGTACCAATTTCAGGACCTGAGACCTCTGTGCACATTGCTAGGGTACTGAATAATGTGAGAATGCAATCAATGCATTCCATCAAAAAAATAAAAAATAATTTTGTGTGTAACAGCTCTCTTAGTGCAAGATGAGAGTAATAGACTGATAGTATTATCACTATCAGGGAGTGTCTCTAGTACTTTTATCAACAGATTTTGACCGCTCTGTAGTGAGAAGCTGCCCTTTTAGTGTAGCAAGTTGCTGCTGCTTGCAGAGGCTGTGTGTGTCAGGATCTTGGCCTGTCAGAATAAGGGATTGAATACTGGACCAAATGCACATGCCACACGAAATCAATCAAGTTAATCAAGTTAAAACTGTCAACTGTAATTCTCTTGTTTCAGTTCTTACTTGAATTATCCCTGGTTTGGAGCCTTTCTCTTTCTTGAAGAGTCAAAATGGTGGTATTACACTATATTTTCCAGTTAGAACGCTGAAACGTTCCTTTAATGTGTTTCCAAAGTTCAAATTCTTAAAGTTGAAGGACAGTAGCCTTGACATTTATCATAAACTTCAATACTGCTATGAGTCACATTAAACAAGGAAATGATTTACACGACAAATATTTACTCTATTCTCTGTATTCTGGAAACAAGCCATTGTCTTAGTCACTCTTCATATTGAACCCTATTTATAAGGTAACCTGACGCTTCAGAGTCCAGTAATACTGGCCTCTCAGGTGCAAGCTGGAGAGATGCCACACTTTCTGGATGGTGTTCAGTGCTCAAGCAAAACAAACCCTGAATTTAAGAGGAATGCAACAGGCCATCCAAAAAACAAATCCACCTGCTCTAATCTTCAACACCTGTATGTTCACTGGGATTTTAAGTGAAAACGAGTGGCCATTCAGCATGCAAAATAGCATAATGTTTGCACTGACAGCAGTACAGCACAAAACTGTCAAATTAATGACGTTTTTATGACAGTGGAAATCAGTACCTGCTTAAATAAAAAAAAAGGAACTCTGACAATTTGTTTTACTGCAACCCTTCCTTGTTTTTACTGCTCAAATTCTTTCAATGTCTATGAAGTGAAACAGCAAAAGCCAGTGTCTACAAACCTTAATTTTATCTACACTGAGTTTAAATTTACATTGGCCCAGTGACTTTGAGAAAGTTCTGATATTTAGCTGCATAATTGCCACATCCAGTTTTAGTCTCATCCCTATTGAAATAAATCTGGGATCCTCGGAGAATACATACAATACGTAATAATAACATAAAAATATGTTAACAATAACATAATAATATATAATAACTTTAATTTCAATGTACTAATAACCTTCTGTCTTCAGGGTCTTGAGCTCAACTCATAGGCATGCTGTTAATGATTCCTACTTAAATATGTTTTTAGTACAGATGTTTTTGTTTTGTCAGGCTAACTGGTGTATGCATTACATATGCAGAAATGGTTAGCTTGTAAATAAGATGTGACAAATTTTCAACAATGTCTGTCTAGGGTGATTCACTGGAAGCGAGCCATTGGTTAAATCAAATCTAAAATGTGTCTTGTGTCATGCTTGCTTGGGACTTGCACTATAAGTGTATGTGTCCCAGTCAAATAAATAAATTATAACCAAATCATTATGAATAAGGCCCAGACAGTATCCCAAACACACCGGGCTGTTGAAATATGCCTTGAGTTCTTGGCCAAGCCAGGTCTTGGAAACAGCTCTGTGCTGATTACCTGGGGAAAGATTGGCAGGATTTTCAAAGGACATGGACACACTAACACAAAACCCTTATCTCAGCAGAAAGTGTTTAACAACAGACGATAAAAAACACTTCTCTTGTCAACCAACATTTTATAAAAAAATAAAAACCAAAACACTTTCATCTGTTTCTCTCAATATATTTATATATTAATGTGGTAACAGGTGAGTCCAAGTTTAAGCACATGCAGTTTATTAGGGTTTGTTTTTTACTGTTTTTTTTTTGTTGTTGCCTGGTGCTTAAGTCTTTTTTATATATAAAAAGTCCCTGACATACCATAAATTGTTTTGGTTTATACATATTACGGATTATAAATCCTTTGCCTTGTGGACTTCATCCACCAGCATGCCCATGCCAGGATAAATATATTTTATTTCCCAGGGTTACTTTGTATTGTTTTTTTTATTGTAAAAAAACACAGAACCCTACATTTGTATTTTTTATAATCTACTGTATGTTCTCTGTCCTTGCTCCTGAAAACAGATATTTTTCCCTTGGCAACTTCATTCCATATCAGAACTTTCCTATCCCAAAAAGTAGATTCTGAAATGGTTTGTTGAATGATCTATTTGTTTTGTTAAATATTCTAATGCCCACAAAGGAATTAAGCTGACAGTGAAAGAATATTTCAGCTGTACTTTGAGCCAGATAGGAAATAAGATCTTCAGAAGTGATAAACTGGCCCCTTGACACTGGTAGATATTGTAAATTATAGTGACAAATTTACCAATACCCCCCTCCACTCGACTACCGAAACACATTTTATGAGACCAAAAAATGAATATTCTTCTCCTAAGCAGTGTGGTGGAATTTCACTAACCTAAGAAAAAGTACATTTAAAAGAGAATTGTAGGGGAAATACCAGCATGCATTCAATGCGATTTCTTTTTTTCTGTTGCTTTTATAATCTACAATTTCAAACACAAATTTACCGCTTATTTATTTTAATTATACAAGTAAACATGTGATTCATCTTGCAAAAAATGACCTTTTTTTCTTTTTAAACCCACCTCCACCCTCTGACCTTTAGAGGACTTCTTTATTTTATTTTTTTATTTTTTCACTCTCTCATTTTTGTTCTTATTAGATTCTTACATTCACAAAAAAAGATTAATTCAAAAACTTCCTATTAACATTCTTAACATCCAGTCCCATTCAAGTATGTCTCTAATTGGCCCCAAACATTCCTATACTCATTAAGTTTCCCCTGTAAATTATATGAAACCTTTTCAAATTTAACTTGTGATACAGTCTCTTTAATCCATTCTTTGTACGACAGTCCTCTACTGTCCACCCATTTTCCCAATAATACAGAGAGTCAAGACAGTATTTTTATATTGAATTGCTACTTTAACCTTTGATAAATCAACAAGGTTACATGTAATGGGAGTTAGTGTAATTGAGATATTTAGGTGCCTGAGAGCTTTCCCCACTGTGGAGGTCCAGAATGACTGTATGTGCTGACAATACCATAATAAGTGCAATAGTGATCCTTTATGTTGGTTAGATTTTGAACACATTCCTGTATTATGTCATTTAATCTTTATCAATTTTTCTGGGGTAGAATAGAGCCAGTTTCAAATTTTGTATTGAAGCAGTTTATTATGTATAGCTCTAAATATATAACTAACATTATGCTACACAGTATCCCAGTCTATGTCCTCTGACCCTACACAACTATCAAAAGACTTATCTGACTTTGCATTGAAAAGGTTGTAAAATGTCCGGGCCTTCACTTGTATGTTAGTCTGCAATAGTTTATCGCTGTAATTATCCATTTTTTGCAAAATTATTTTGCTTGACGATATGTTTGATGAGATCATTAAAAAAAGACAACAATTTGTTATCTCTAATCATATGACCCATTTTACTAACACCTACTTGGATCCATACAGACCAATTAATTGGTCTTGACAATATAGTTAGTCTTAGTGATCTAATTGTTGAAGTACTTATAGTGAGGCATCATGAGATAAAATTATATTGCTGCAAGCAAGAGCCAATTGGTGTTTAAATTAAAGATTTTGGACATACTGTATCTTGCTATAATACAAACTTTCTAAGGAGATACCTAGCTCTGATGCTGTATGCTCAATTTTTACACTATCCTTTTCTATTTCTGTTTTAAAGGAACAAGTAATAGGTTTATTCCATGCTGAAAAAAAGAAGAAAGAGAACACAACGTTTCGGCCGTGGAGCCTTCTTCAGGTGTGAGCACACCTGACACCTGACACCTGATAAACCTATTACTTGTTCCTTTGCAGCCTACGCATGCTGACGCAGCTACCCACCTGAACTATTTCTGTTTTATACCACTCCTTTGCTTGAACTGAGCCAAATGCCAATAATAATGATGAAATAGTTATAATTATAAAAATTGTGTAAGTCTAACCCACCTTTATTTAACAAAAAACAGAATGCTATAGAAAATCCCAGTCTAACAATGTGTGCTCCAGTGTGGCCATGCTTAGCTCGTTTAAGAAATAATATAAATAACTTTATGTAAATCCACCATAATTCTCCTGGGTTCAATTTAGAAATATAGACTGTGAAATAGAATTATGGCTACAATATATCTTTTTATTCTTTCATCAGTTAAACCTATCTTTAGCATGGTTTATACACTTCCAAAATGGATGCAAATGCAGTGTTGTTTTTTTATTTAGGATAAATATCCAAGAGAATAGCTTATCCTGTGTGTGTGTTATATTTAGATTATAATACTTCATTATTAAGGTTTCCTAATTATTTTTCAGAATTTACTGAAAATGTATATAACATTTTATGTGGACATAAAAGTCCACTTCTGGGTTGTCTTTTGAAAGCATGTTTTTCCATATGTAACATACAATTACCTTCAATAAGAGGGCAAAATGATTAATGCACTACTTCAATGTCTTATGTTATTACTGTGGGGACTTTTTTGAAACCCAGGTCTCCCCTTCAGCATATGAAACTTATTTCCAAAGCAACAGAGATCACGTGCACTGTGAGTTAAACATCAGGCATGTCCCAAATGTATGCGTAATGGCTTACGTATTTTCAAAGGAAGGGGACTGTCTTTAAATGCTCTAAATGGTTCCTCAAGGGTTGGTTTCCTCTGAGGACTGACTTTGAATGATGCAGGTTGCCTCTACATTTTGTGCAGGTTCTTACCCACTGTTGTTCCATCCAGACCCATGATGCATTTCATGGCCCTGATGATTTGTTTGGCCACAGGGGGGGACATTGCTGAAGCGTAGACTGAACTATGTGAATGGGTTCGTAAATAATCCACCAGGTCCTGGAATGAGCAGAAAAAACAATATTTATACTCAAGTTCAGTCTTAGAAAGCCATTAGCATCCAGCAGTGAGTAGAAAAGGTTAAATGTCAAGGCTGCAAACTGTGCATCTGTGTTGCTCTGCTACTGACACCAGTAAAAGCTTCCTATAAAAAAGTAGCCTATGGTCTGTATCTGGGGGGTAAGTTTCTATGTATTTCTTATTTACCTGTCATGATTTATACGTCATCCAAGAGTTCACTAACAATAAAATCTATAGAATGCATAAATTCATAAATTGGTAAAAAGGTTAACTTTAGTCTATTTAAGTGACATAAAAGATTGAGTCGAACTATTAGTGACTAACTAGGTTTATATTGTTTTACTTATATAACTCTTAGTTATCAAGAGAGACCTGTTGTATCAATAAAAAAACACAGGACAACAATTTACATTAAAAATAACAATTAGCTGGTGCTCACTGGTGATTGTTGTTGTCAATATTGGTGAGTAAATCGACTGACTGAACAGATAATACAGTATTTTTTCAGCAAGACGACAGAGGAGCTGCCATTTTCAATGTTAAACAGAACTCAACTGAATTTTTTTTTATTCGCTCCAACATTTTGATTTTCTTTCTATGAAAAATCACTGACATACAGCCTCTAAATGATAATGAGCATTTGGTAAAAAAGAAAGTGGAAATGAGGAGTGTGAAATACATGACACACAAAGATTTTGACTTAAGCATCTACAGTCCTTGACAGCTGAAGGGCTGTCTGGTTTTCATTCCAACTCAGACTGTAATTGCTTAATTGAATGAATTGTGTGGAGCACCTGTTTCTCAAGGTCTTAATCTGCTACCAATTGAAAAGTGCTGGTAAAATCTACAGAACTCTGACCTTCATATTTTGCAGCTGCCATTCCCTGGACAGTTTCAATAAACAAGACAACACTTGTTGTACCTTCTCTACAAATATTAATGGTTTAAGGAGACCAAGAAAACATGCAGGGTCCACCGGTTTCAAATGACAAAAACATATGATATGATTTTAGATATGACCACTAGAGGAGGCAATTTAAAAATATGTAAAAGAACTTGCTGGATATTATACTGTGTTCAGTAACCATAATTCTTTACAGAATCAGTTAGCAATTGTAAGTAGTAATTTTATTAATTGAGGGCACTGTTAAGAAGAAATTCTATCAGAAAATGGGCTGGTAAATAACATATTGTTGTCATTTTGTGAACCGCAGTGTATTTTACTTCAATTTGTTGAGGTAAGGAGTCTAGACTGAAAGACCTTAGTTTTTAACCAAATTGTATCGAATGGCAAACTTGTAAGTGAATTCAGAAATTTAACAAGGGTGATCGTAGGAAATAATTGACAAAAATGATACAAAGGTTCTCCTTTCCCTGGCAACCCTGAGAGTAACTTTGAAATGGAAGTATTTTTGTCTCCAATACTCTAACGCTGAGTGTGCTTCTTTAGCACAACAAGTGTCAACAGTAATTATCCACCAGAGATGATAAAAAACCTAAGCCTTTCTAGGCACGATTTACATCTGCCATCTGTCTTTTTTTCAAAAGCAGTGAAACGGAGCCTGATTTTCCAGATGTATAGTGTAGATTTAGGGTAAATACTCAAACATAAACATCTGCTTTGATTTAGAATTTGAATTTTATGTTCAATTTATGTTGGGATGCTTAAGGTAAGCTGTTTAGGAAAATGCACTCCAAAGTTGTCTGAAACAACAGAATGCTATAACTGGGGAATTAGGGTCTCAATCTTTTTGAATCCCTTAAAGCCTCAAAGCTGCATTCTTAGGGCATTTCTCTACCTTCCACACTCACTCACAATTCATTATGGTTATGTTCACAATTGACATTTTATATTGTATATTAAATTTATTGCTTTTAATTATTGTAGGTAAATGTACTGGAAGTTATACTTTTGAAATCCATTAATGTTGTCTACGTTTTCCCTCTTTTTAAATTCTGGCTATCGGAAATGTGCAAAGGAAAAGAGCTTTCAGCATTAGTGTTTCATTAAGAAAACACAACACATATACTGTACACAATGCCTTCAAGTTCATATTTTCATACCTGAAGAATCTTATATCTAGAAAAGGCTAAAATATAACATTCAAATTATGTCCTTAAATATCTGTGGAAATAAAACACAGCTTCAAGTTTCACAGAGAGAAGAGAGCCCCAATAAATCAAAAACAGCAATGAGCCTTATAATTTTATTATGATGAGGCCCAGTTGTATTTTCTGAAGCTGATTTAGCATTTTTAATAGCTAGCCAAACACAATGTTCCCTCTTTTACGAATAACCTTTTAGCTGTGCACTTTGAAAGCTGCCCTTTTTTCACATGCAAATATAAATGTAAGCAGGATATCTGTCATTTCACAAAAGTCAAAACAGCTTAGGTAAGAGGGTTTTATACAAGCTTAGTTTTTCGACAATGTCACTTTGCTTGCTGTCTGCTGCTGTCACTGCTGGCAATATGTTAATGTTTCATTAATTAGCAAGCATGTTCTAAAGTATCCTGTGAAGGTTTGAATGCAGTCCAAATTTCTCCACATGAAGAGGCTTCTTGGGTGCACAGAAGAGATTGCTTTTGAATGGTGGAGATCTTTGCAAAGGACCGGCTGACAGATGACAATGTGGCACGAAAAGTTTGGGCCAAGCATTGTTCTTCCTCTCCATCAGCGTCTGTCTTTATTCATGATGTGGTTATGCAAAAAAGTGCATTTTTTATTGCAAAATAATACATACCATACACATGGTGTATCACTAGGGTTGCCATCTTTCAACATATAATTCCCCCCTGAATCTACTTGCCTTTTATTTGTGTCTTCTGCCAACAAAATGAATCTATACTCAGAATTTACCGGCAAGGTGAGCCATTGCTCTAATAGATACATTGATCTATATTATATTATTTCAATTTAAATGAGACCCTTTTTAAAAGAAAAAATGCAATTCATCCTGCCATTTGCTCCTTTACTATTCCTGCATGTTATTAAGCTAAAATAAAAACAACTCTACCTCCAGATGCCATAGCTGTATTTATGTAACAAGCAGTGAGTATTGGTCCAACTTCTTACAATAAGAGAAAAACAATCAGTTCTCTTTCAGGGATTGCACAGCTGGCAGAATATCTAAGATTTCTTCATCATCATCAGATATGTCTGATTTAGTTAAAAACTGGACTTGGTTTAACAATGCTAATTGCAGCTTTAAAGGCAGGAAGAAAAAATGAAAATAATCCCCTAAAGCTGGCAGTCCTAAATATTCCTAGTGAAGCATAATTCTGTTTCTTTTTAACTCTCCATTCTGGGTGGAAGAGTATTCCTAGGACACAAGAGTGATGTATTCTCTAAATCAGCGGCAGGCACACTGGAGACAGCAGTTAATGTGTGGTGGAAGGACTCTATCTTAATTGAAGGCCAAAACGAAGGCTCTGGTCTAACTCAACAGGATGTCTGGTTGATATGACAAGGAACTCCCAAACTGCCAAAAAATGTTGAAAAATCTGTCTGGCTGAAAGAACTGGCTGGCCCTAGTGATCTAAATAATGTCAGACTTATGTTTGCAATTGCAAGTTGTGCTTTGTTCTGGAGATCTCATTCAATAAATAAATAAAACACAGAAACACATGCCATTAAGTACTGGCATAATTGCTTGTGGGGTTTAAAAATGTCTGTTAGACCCTGAGTCTATAGTGGGAGAAATATATATTTTTGCTTGTTTGCTTGACTACATCACCGATGGACAACACAGTAGTATCAGATACTTAAGCAGTGAAATAATAAGTTGTTTTTACCCACGTTTCCAGGCATTGACATTCAAAATGGATACTGAAAATGGCTGTATAAATAATTCAGTTTTAAGTTATGCAACATCCTATATTTTGATTTAACTCTCACCAATTGAATTAAACTGTGCATTCAATTTTAAGGTATCTTGCATGTATTTTGGTGCCAAATGTCTTCATTGAGTAGCAATTACTAAATATCAATTTTATTGAAAAGGAAAGGCTAAACACATGAACTAAAGTAACCCATAGTACTGCAGAGTTACTGTTCTTTGTACACCTTTTAAGGGATTACTCAAGTCTCAACTATGGTTAAAGCAGCTTTGTTGTAGCCGATGACAAATCAGATAATTTATTTCAGCTTTATGAGAAACATGACAGGAAATGTTTCTGCTTTTTGTGAAACTGCTGTCTTTTTAGTAGTTTCCTTGGAACACAAGGTAAAGATATTCAGAACTGTCTTTCCACTGTGCCAATGTTAAAATTTCACAAAGAGAGCTGCATATTGAATTACAGTATGTGTTGACTTAGTGCAAACTTAATTCCATTTTCTTGGTGTTCATATTTTATAGTAAGCATAAGTAAATCATTATGTTTCTTACATCATACTAGTTTGGATTTAAATATTCCTGAAAAAAGTTCATTTGATAAATGTACTCTTCCTTGGTAAATGGTCGATTTCCTTATTCTTTTCACTTAGATTCTGTAACTTGGGTCTTCATTAGTTAATATTCATGCAGGAAAAATAATTTCCATGCACAATGAAGATTACATTATTTTCAATTAGCTATTGTGAGTGGAGACTTATGGCTTGAGTTACACCATATCAAGGATATTTAAAGCTAAAGCAAGGCTTTGAATTACTTTATTTCAGACACATAGTTATTATTAAAGAGGTAAAAAAGCAACAAGCTCAATGGCACGTCGAAGGCACTGTACGCTGGAAACAAAAGGAAGCAGGAACAAGCTCACTGATCACCGTATGGTTCCCACCTTCTTTCCAGCTATGTATCCCCCTGCTGCTCCAAAGCTCTTGGTGAAGGTGCCCATCAGCACGTCTATTTCCGAAGGGTCCAGTCCAAAGAGCTCCACCACACCACGCCCTGTGGGCCCCACAGCACCAATGCTGTGAGCCTCGTCCAAGTACAGATAAGCTTTGTACTTGTTCTTCAAGGCAATGATATCTGGCAGCCGCACAATCGATCCCTCCATGCTGTGGGACCAATAAGAGACGCAGAGAGGTAAGATCAGGCTAATTTTGATTTTAACGTTACCTTCAAAGTCTTTTCTCCTTTCACTTTTATTCCTTTTATCCACGCAACACAGTTAAGACTGAAGCAGATAGTGAAAATTGCTCTGTAAATTATAAGGAGACCTCCCAGACTGAACACTTTGTGGTTTAAGTAAACTAACTAGCAAGTAAATGGGCTTCACCCATTATGGACTTCAAAGCGCATCGTCAATATCTCTGTAGTTAGCCACTCTCATCATAACATTTTGATGCCCTATGGTCAGGAAAAAAATAAGATGTCTTGGTATCAAGCATTCTTTCCACTGCTTTGCCATTCCTATGACAGGATACATAACAGAAATGATTTTGGAGATATGATGCTTGCAAATAAAACATTAAAGTGTTAACAATGTATTTTTTACTCTAAACACAGGCAATTTTAAAATGTCTCACAAAAATCAGTACATCTGTATTTTGGAAAATGGGAATAAAATAGTTACAAAACTGTAATACTTTTTTTATAAAGGGAATCCAATTTCCTATTTTATAGACCACAGGTTTATTTGTCTTACGTGGTTTTAAACAGCACAAATAAAAGCAAAAGGGAAAACGAAAAAAACAAGGGTAAAAAAGGGAAAAAAAACTGTAAATGAGGACAAAAGTAAGAACAGAAAACCTTTCATTGATTTATGATAAAGATTAGCTTATAAGGAATGTATTTTGAGACCACATTGCAGCAGCAATATCTCGCATCATCCAGCCCCTTAATAGAACTTTAAATGTGAATAATGAAGCAATGCAGTAGGCCAGAAGGCACAGATTACATTGCATCAGTACATGTGTAATCACATGTTCTCATTGAGAGAGGGAAAGGCTAGAGGTTTGGGAGTTTTCTGTTTCTGATTACCTGATTCTTTTCAGTTTGTCATCCTGTTCTGCCAATCAAATGGCAAATGGGGTAACAGCTTGAATTTTAGAAAAAAAAAAGATGATAAAAGCTTAAAGCTTTATTGCCAAGATGTGGATTGTTCAACAGAGAACAATGCCTTGAAAGAGAAGGCTTTGGGTGCTTATTGTTTATAATTCCTAAAGTCATCTAGTAGGTTTGCCTTCAAGAAGTACAGAATAGACAGGATTGAAATTTGGCTGTCTCCAGTAGTGCTTATTTAGTGTGGATACCTTGTATCCTAGAAATTAGATATTACAATAAGACTTCACAATATATAGGGTAATTTGTGCAACACAAACAGCAGTAAGGGAGAAAGGTAGGAATAAAAAACCCAGCAAACCCCAAGACATCAGCTGCTGTTCACCTGTAAATTCCCTCCACAAGAATGAGAATTTTCTTCCATGGCCGATGGCTTCGAGGCTGTCCACTGCATATAGCATCTCGCAGCAACTTCTCCAGACTCTGCATGTCTAAATAAAAACACAGAAAGAGACTAGTAATTATCAAGTCAGAGATTGTAAAGTTTTTCCATTTCTAAAAAAAAATAGTGACAAATATTCTACAACTAAAATGGCCAGATCAGACTGTAGTGTTCCAGATCAAACACTATTTGCAATGAGGATAAAAGCCAACAACTGTATTAATTTTATTTTACACATATTATTAATACCTGGCATGCAAAGGAAATTACACTATTGTTTGTTAAAATACTATATTGTGATTTTTAAAGTAATGTGTTTTTAAAAGAGGTGTTTTTTGTGTATTAGGTCATAGCAGCTCAACAAAAGAAAGATTATTCAGTATTACTCAAACTGCCATTTATAGTGTCCACTGCATTAGTATCTTCTAAAAATAAATAAACACATAATGCATGCAATAACAGCACAGGGAAATATTTGATAATGTGATATGCCTTTTATCAGGCCTTAATAAGAATGTTGCCTTTATTCTATCAGGGAATTGTTTTTGCTCATATGATCAACCCCTTGTGTTTTGTGTATTTTGTGCAACACACAATGGACCAATTATAGAGAAAAGACCTTGTGGAACAACTGATGAAAATAATAATAGCTACAACAGCTGTTTAGTGTTTGCAAGCAGAAAGAAATATTATATGCCGCTACAAAGATTTACCAGGCATCTTTTAAATGACAATTTGTAGATATTTTTGGTCTAAAATTATGCAAGCATGATTTCTGTACTTTTTCATTGTGTCCTTACTTAGGGTTTGATTATAGTCTGATTTCTGAAATCATTGAAATGAACAATAATTACTTTTTTCAATGTACACACACTTTTGTTCTCAGTGAAAAAGGAAATGTACAGTATATGACAAAGATCCCCTGACAAAGGCAGTAACAAAGAAAATCTGTTTGGTTTTCTGCAATTTCCCATATAATAATGACAAACCTCAGTAAATATTCTTTTAAAATACAGAAAAATTATAAACCTTTAGTCTAACCAAGATATCATCTAATACTAACAGGAGGTATAGGGGGGAACACAACTGCATCTGCTGAATAACAGGAAATAGTGAAGAGACATAAATGATTAAATCAAAGTGGATATAAAGGTATAAACAACCTTTACCAGAGCTCCATAGAGCTGATATCCTTATTTTATCCAGAAGGTGGGGCCATGCGAGCAACATTAATTGTAAAGATTTATAAAAATGCCAAATGTAAATTAAGACTACACATGTCTTACAAAGAGGAACAGATTATGGTAAATTGGGGTAATTTGTATAGAGAACATTAATTTAAAAATTAAATAAAACAAAATTAGTTGAGGGAGAGTGAGCTGATTTACTCTGTTTATAATCTGTCGGTGGTGAAATTGACAATAGTAAGTGAAAAACGCACATGGCTTCTATGAACCATTTTAAAATCTTTAAAGAATGTTTGAATGTGCCATTTTAGAGTGTAGGTTTGTGTGGTACATTGTATTGTTTAGTCATGGTCTTGAAGTGTGATGCAGAACAAATGAAAGAGACTCTGCTTCATTGCACTGTAATGTTCCTGCTTTGTAGACAATTGTTTTATAATCTGTTTTTTTTTTTCAAATTATTGTAATAGACATTCTTTATCAAATATTTGTCATTGCTGTTTTCAGGAATTCTATTACACTTTTTAACAGACTGCCAATTTGGTGTATTAACAATAATTAAGTAATTAATTAAAAGATGAGAAAATTCATATTCCATCACTTCTTAACAACCTAAGTAATTAAGTTAACCTTAATTGACCTTTTCTAAGAGTATCTTCATACTTCTTTCACTTGAAAGGTGAAAGTCACATCTCATATAAAAAGTCCATTCACCACAAAAACTTGTCTTCTGCATTTACAAGCTACAAATTAACCTATAAATTAACCTTAAATACATTTATAAGATACATGTAAAAAATTACCTTAAAAATGTGAAAGTTTTTACAGTAAGTATTGAAAGATTTCAAATAATTTTATTAATTTAATTAATGAAACATAATCAAACTAAAATGATCGGTTTAATGCACATCTCTGTTTAAAAATTAAAGTAACAATAATAATCGTTCGTGACCTTTGCTCTTCCCAAATAAAGAGGACAAAGGCATAAACTATAGATTTGTACACACAATGAATACAATTGTGTGTACAATTGAATCAATCGGAATTAAATCTTGTATTATATTATATTGCTGAGTATTATATAAAAATCATAAACTAAGATATAATATGGGTTGAGAGTAACAGAGCAAAAATCAGAATCTTCCAGGTTTCAGAACCTCACTTTGGGAACAGGAAGAAAGCCTGAGACTAAAAGGCACAGTTGACATTCAGGTTTATAGGGTGTTATCTGTGACGCATTGTGAGGTTGCTGAGAATAGAATCAAGGAAAAATAATTTAAAATGGTACTAGAATGTAAATCCTACCAAGACTAAATGGAACAGTTTTCCTCAGATAATCTCAATAATTACATACAAGGTAATAATTCACACACAATACCCTTTTTGGCTTTCTGAGACATACTGTACCAAAAGAAAACAATTAGCCTCCTGATTATGAACAGCAGATACAGGCTGCTGTGTTCTCTCTGTCTTACTTGCCTCTAGCTTTCCCTGGAACAACTGCTGCAGATTAGTCCGTGGCCAACTAAACCTGTTTGGTCACTTTTAATAGTAAAATTCTAATTGGATACAAAAGCAAAAGCATTTCATAGCTTCCAAATAGCTTTGGCTAACTGCTTTTTACAAGGGGTGGGGAGCAAAGATGATTCCTAACAAGATATTAAACAACTACTCTTATCAAACATTCTTTGGTTTTAATTTTCCTATCATTGAATCTCGCTTTTTTTGTTTCCATAAGATTTCCATAACATTTGTTTTTCGCTGTCAGAAAGCATAACATGTTACAGAAAGATTTTTATTTGAATGCTGTGTCTCATTTCAACAACTGTAAATAGAATTTCATTTAAGTCTTTGTCTGAAATGTAGAACAGTCATAGATTGGCAAAAATGGCCTTTCAGTCTTACAAGAAGTCTGACCACCCTTCCTCAAAATCCAAAAGTCAGACACAGGGAATTCTGGGTGTGTGGAAACATCTTGCCTGACATTTTCATAACCAAGGAGTTTATGATGATTTCTTAAGGATCCTTAAAAAATACTTGTGTGTTTAAGATCTGTAAGTCATGAGGAAGTAGGTGAACCATGAACCTTTCATAAATTCATCATAAGCAGCTTCCTAATCTGTGAAAGTTATGAAAAACGTTAAGAAAATGTTATATTAGATTTCTCTAGAAATAAATGAGAAACGTCACACAATAATATCTGTAGACAACATTTCCAGCAACATTCTCCATCTATGAATTGGCTTCATTACACTGCTCTCCTCCACTCTGATGTGTTGTGAGCGTTCTGACACACTATGGCTGCCGTCACATCATCCAGGTGGGGCTGCACACTGGTGGCGGTAGAGGGGAGTCCCCATTACCTGTAAAGTGCTTTGAGTGGAGGGTCCAGAAAAGCGCTATATACGTGTAAGCAATTATTATTATTATTATTATTATTATTATTATTATTGTTATTATTATTCATATGATCAGAATTTGTCATATGGGTTATCTGCTCTTTGGCAAATAATGAAGATATACAATATAAATACTGTATATACATATATTAAGTGCAGAGGATTAAAGAAAGACAATGGCAGCCTAGTACATTATTTTGAGAACAAAATGTGCCAAGACAATTGAAGGGAAACAAGATAGAAACGTGCATTGCTGAAACAAAATAAAAAAGGGAGAAAAAAGGCTGTGGCCATGCACTCTGGAAAGTACAAAAGTGAATTAAGGAAACCAAAAAAGCCACATACATTGTTCAAAAGCTTTTACAAGAGACCATGTTGTAATTATGCCTTTGAAACATTCAACTAGACTTTGCATTGCAATTCCACACACTCAATCATTACATCTGAAAAAGGACATCTTAATGTTCTTCAACAGACTAAGACAGAAGTTTTTTAATGGGCTTTGCCATTGTCTTTTTATTTTTAAAAGTTTAAAATATACTAAAGTAGCTCATACATTTGTGCTTTTTAGAATTTGTATTTAAATAAAGATGTATGAGAATAATCTAATGCATTAATCTAATGCACAGTTACATTTAAGTTTAATGGCAATGATAGTTTTGAACTTTGAATAGAACTGAATCAGGCTGGTCAATGATGAAGCTGGAACAGTCATATTCAGTCAGAGTCTGATTTTAAATGTTTTGTGTTAAGTACTAAGTACATTGAAAGGTGTTTTGTATTTACTTCTTCTGCTTCTCATTCATATTATCCTTCCAGCCACCTGTGGCAGATCTCAATAAGGTGAGCTTAGGTAGAAAGGACATGGAAGAAAAAGTGAATCCAAGACACCTTTTGTGTAGCTAGTAGCAGCAGTACATTTGGTTTATTTGTAAATAACTCTCTTCAAAGATTGTCATTTTAACTTCTCTAGACCTTCTCTGGACCAGTTACAGAGAGAGGAAAACCTGCTACTGTGACAATGTTGATCCCAGCAGCTATTGTTAACAGTTAAGTTCCCATTCAAGTGACTAATATTGATCAACCACACACTCCACCTTTGTTGCTTTTGCTGGGCATTCTGTGATAAAATTGGTCTAAACATACTACTATAAGACTTGGGATAACTTGTAGTGAGGATTTGCCTTTGCTGCTCAAAGCACATTTCATGATTTGCCATCCTTATTATTTAAGAATTCAGCTTTCAAATAAACAGCTGAGGACTGTCTTACTAAACACCCTTACATTCTTACGAAAAGCATAATTTAAAATACAGTACCATGGCCTATGAGTCCTATAGTGAGACTCCTAACTGAATCCACTGCCAACTTCAAAATCAACAGGACTACTTTCAACCATTTTATTCAGGTGCAAAAATTGCTCTATTTTGTCCCTCTGAAAATCCAGCCCCAAAATCTTTAATCCACACACAAATGTATAAGTGAAAAAAACATGAATTGAAAATTAATGTTTTTTCACTTCATGTTTGAAGTGAAAAAAAGCAATACACCTCACTTAGTCGATAGTATATTGCCTGATTGGAATTTACAGTACTTACTTTTTAAATTACTTTCAGCAACCTAGAACAATGAAGTTTTGAACATCTCTGTAAATGCGTGCAGACAGGTAACTGACTTACTGTTGTGCTTAAACACGCGGATGGTAGCACCCGACAGTCTGGCTCCCAGGATCAGTGAGGTGTGATTTAACTCATCACTTAAAATTAGGCATCCCTGAAAGCACAAGACAAACCAGAACAAGATTTTGTCCTTCATCTTGAAATCTGAAAGTGTAACGTTTCATTTTTAACACACTCTTCACATAAAGAAATGTACATAAAGAAATTATTTTATTTTTTAATGTCAAACTAGCCTACTATATGAAGTTAATCTGAGACAAAATGAGACTAATCTGAGACATAATGACATCTTCTTTGACTTTTTACCTTCATGGTCTAACTAGACCCCAGTCAGTGGAATCGGCATCATTTTACTACCACGCAGGCAGTTTCATCAAGCATGAGGGTTCATTTATGAGATACATTTCACACTTGCATACACATTTTCTGGTTATTTGATACAGACACAAATGTGTGTGCAAAATGCATCATGTATGTTTCACTTAATGTAAAATGTACAAATTTATTAGTATATGCACTGCTTACTCACTATAAAATGGATAATTTACAAAAAAAATTAAATGGTAGTAGCTGATGTGTGGATTTCCTTATTGTGGGCAATGGAATAGCTGTTTGCTGCAGTAATAGCTGTCAGAGTGAAACTGGCATCACAGAATATGTCTTTAATAGATGCCTGCTACAAACTGCTGTGACAGGCCTGGGCTTTGAGATACTAAACCTCAGCCTTGAGGGGCTGAATCCCTCCTGACACTGAGGCCACAGAGGGTTTATCCCTCATTAGACATGTAGACTGCTCTTGTCTCTGTCATTTAAACCCCAGCCTCAGGCCATCCCTATTTCCTGTCTAGTCCTATCAGTACGAATGATGTCAAAGACGGCCAGTAGTGACCCCCAAGGTACCTATCTTAACTGTGATGGTGTGTCAACAGCAAGGGAATTTAGCTTACAGGACACATGATTAAAATGCTCTGTGGCCCCAGAACATTGTCAATTTTGTTTTCCTGTTTCCTTTAAAAAACATATTAATTACTATATTACTTTCCTTTCTAACATACTATAGTATTTAGCATTATTACGTATGTAGTTATGAAAGCTTAGGACAAAAAATGTCTAACAATTCCTCTGAAGACTTTATTGTATCTTGTATTCATTGTCTCTTTCAATTTGTAATAATTGTGGCAAACAGCATTTGGAGGTTTCATATTTACAAACAAATCCATGTGAATAAAATATTCCTGTTGAATTCTGCAATATTATGCACCAATTTATTTTTGTGGTAATTCCTGAGTGCAAAAAAAGAAAACGGGAAAAGAGATAATTCATCTTCCTGGGAACAGACAAGAAGAAGACAAGGCTGTGAAGACACCATTAATCAAGAGCAGATTAGAAAGAAAGGAAGAGCATATTCAGATGGAATAAAGTTAGAAACCTGAAAAAAAAACTTTTAACCCTTTAACAGTTGCTCACATAAAAAGGATTCAGATTAAAAAATAACTGCAACTTCCTTCAGCTAACACTTCAATGAAAATGTTGAGAAAATATGAAATTTCTATTTCCACATACTTAACAAGGCAATAGCACATACAGTAGGTCTTAGCAACCTGGTTGAGCACACAGATGTAAGGCTAAGATTAAAAACTAATCTAACCTTGCCCACAAGCGCTGGGATGTTCATTGAGTTGGTAGCAAACCCCATTCCAAAGGTCATAGCCGATTCTACCCCAAGAAATGTGGCCACAAGATCTTCCAGCTCTTCGTGGATGTCCAGATTCCCTGCATAGACATATATACCACATAACTTATTCCTGGCAAAGTTGTATGGGTAACATCATTTAAAATTCACTGTACTATTCTCAGGGGTGCACAATAAAAACTAATATCTAAATAGCAATTTACTAAATTAAAATATATTATCAGTCAAGGAACCAGTTCACTTTAACACCTGTTCAAATAAAAATGTGTGCTGCTAAAAAGAATTCTAATGTAGTAATGAAACAGTTGAAACATAGGAATGCTTTAAAAGAGGAGGCCATTTGGCTCATCTTGTTTGTATGGTTACCAGTAGCCTAATGATCAAATATTTGCATCTGTCTAAACCTTACATGATTCCACATAGTCAGCCGGGGCTTAGGATCTGCACCTGTGGCTGGAAGGTTGCTGGTTTGTATCCTGTGGCCGGCAGAGGAATCCTACTCCGCTGGGCCCCTCCAGGGGCACCGCATAAATGGCTGACCCTGCGCTCTGACCCCAAGCTTCTCTCCCTGTCTGTGTGTCTCATGGAGAGCAAGTTGGGGTATGTAAAAAGACAAATTCCTAATACGAGAAATAGTATATGGCCAATAAAGTGATCTTATTTTCTCTCTTATCTCTTCAACAAGATTGGGGAGAATCCTCTATGCAAAAAGTGTCTCCAGTTTTCTGTCTTGAATGCTCATTATTTTGTCCACTGAATGGGTCATTTCTCAATGTCTTTCCGGGTTTCTAACACTTGAAACAAGTCTTTCATTCATTTCTGTATTCATCTCTGTTCTAAGATAAAAAGATTTAGATACCTTTACTTTTCCAAGTATGACTTTCACTTCACATCAAGACTTTGCCCTGTTGGTAAAGCAGCAATATCTTTCTAGTTGCATTATAACCAAAACTGAAAACAATAAACCACCAAGTAAAGTGTAAATAGCCATCTATTCATTTTCTATCCTCTTTATGCTGTACAGGGTCAGTGGGGATCTAAAGTCTATCCTAGCAACACACCCTGGATGGGCAGCCAGTCCATTGCAGGACACACAGAGACAGACACACATACATTAATTCCAGGGCCAATTTTCCCTGAAGCCAATTAACCTATCACTATGTATTTGGAATGTTGTAGGAAACCAGAGCACCTGGTGGAAACCCAAGCAAACAAGGAGAGAACATGCAAACTCCATGCGAACAGCACTCCAGGAATTGAATCCAGAGCCCCAGCAATTCTAACAACTGTGCCACTTTGCTGTCCAAGGTATAGCTAAAGCATTATGTAACTTTGACATCTTCCCATGGCACAAATTCTAACCACTACACTCTTAACAATATACTCAAGCATTTTACTTGCTTGTAAATCTATACAATTTTATATTCCTTTATACAGTATCTATCCTTTCACAAGCCTGAAAACGTTTTTCCTGACCTGAGTTTACAGCTCATAATACTCTGTATGTCATGCCTTGGACATTTTGATATTTTCTCTAAACACTTTCTTTCTGTTTTTGTTTATATTTGGTGATCTATTAAAGCATTTCAGCCACCATGGCCAGATGTTTCAGTGGTGTGCTCATCATGTCTTCACACTGACAAAGCATTTCTCTGCCCCCACATTTTCTTCAATTACAGTACAAAACAGTAAAGTATTAATAAAGGCTTCATGCCGTTGTTAAGGAGAACATATAAAGTTATTTACGGTGTCTTCAACCTTCAGTGAAAAAGAATCCCCATTAATACATGGAGCACTTAAATGCAATTTGTTTTCCTTGGCAGAACTCATCGTAATGATGAACACCTTTTGTGCACTGACTGAAAAATACTAGAAGCTTTGCGCTGCTTTCAAAACCAGAAGTCAAATCGAGTGCAGATACTGTTTTTTTGGGGGAGGGGGGGTTGTTGGTTTCTTTAGGGCTGGTTTTGTGGATTACAAATGTATTCTAAAAGGATGATTTGTCATTTTTCTATGGTAGTGGTATTTTCAAAAGTTTAAATCTCTGACCACACAGGAAAATCATAACAGTGATGTTATGTTTTGATACAAAACCAAAAGTGATTCATAATTTATCTTGGGAAAGTAGGCATGAAAAGCTACAACACAAAATGGAACCTTGAATCTTCTTCTAGATAAACAACAAGACAAGCAGAAATATTTTATTAAAAATATGGGGTTTTGTAATTCTTGTCAGGATTATAAAATTGTTAGGCCATGAGAACAGAGCTTCTAAGAGCATGTAAGCTTCCTTTATAGTTACAAACAGTTTTTATTCTTTTTTGATCTCCTCATGGTTTGTGAAAAACAATGTAAAACTGAGTTTTAAATAATCCCTCTTGGAATCTCTGCTTGTGGTTTTTGGGAGTCAAGTATCTTTATTTCTTTGAAAAAAATCAAACAGACTCCTTCACTAACATGTAACCTTAACTGCTTTATATTTCCATATGAAAGCAAGGGTAGTCAGTCATTACATTTTAGTGCTTCTAATTTGTTAATTATTGATATGATTTGAAGAGTCTGTAAATAAGGCCTTTAGACCTCCTTCACTGAGTAAATGCTATTGCAGAAATAAAACATGTTCTTATCTACCCAAGCACAACAGAGAAATAAAATAAGTGATCTACAGTACTAGGTATTTTAATTGACCTCTGAGTAGTAGAATACCATGCAATTATAACCAAGGAAAAATGTGCAAAGGCTGTATATGGTAGAATATTAAAAAGTATGGATAATTGTAACTGTCTTTTAAAATGGAAATGGAACAAACAAGAGGAATTAAAAAGGTTCTATTAGAAAATGGTGTTCAAATTTACTCTGAATGTTAGTAGTGAAAAAATAACTTCTGACAATGACTTTCTAATGTGAAATACACCCAGCTTGTCCAGACATTGCTGAAAATCAATGCGATCTACCAATATGCACCCTACAAGGCTACATTGCAGAATACATACAGTATAATTCTTCACCAACAGGTATATACAAAACAAATGTTTTTCACCTTTGATTATAACTCAGTCATAGATAAGGAGCTTATTGCTAGTTACAGTAGGGTCAGAATAATCCGCAGCCCATAAAAGAACCAGCACCACAGAGATGTGAGGCACACACTTACTGCCACAACACTGTTCTGCCTCTATATGAATATAAAAAGTTAATATATGTTTTCAATAGCAGACTTGCTGTTACAAATGGTGTTACGCCAAGAGAACTTTGTTGCTGAATGTAATTAACTGTCTCCATAAACCACTTAATGACTATGAAAAACACTGTAAAAACGTCTTCAAAATTCAAAAAAGCTTTAAAAATCCTACAGGGAACAAATTTGAACAAACAATTTTTTCAGCTTGTTTCCATTTACAGTATACAACTGTTTTATACAACTTTTATTGTGGTATAAATCTATTCTTGTTATTGGACAGTGTTTCAATAACTGGTAACACAATACCAAACAATTTTCCGCTCATTCTGAAAGGGGACATGTCCCTTCAGTGTCCTAGTTTCATTAGTCATCTGGGCTTTGTGCTACAAAAAACAGGAACTAAAACAACAGCTAAATTACAACCCAATTAAATTTGTTAAAGAAGATTTTAACTACAGTATACATGAAGGGAACGTAACCAGATCAGAGTTGTTTCTGGGGGTGGGGGGCATGATGTTTCTATCCTTTTTTCTATATTTCATGATAGTTCTATCATTTAAAACATTCTAATTAAAAATGATGTAAACACATTTTATATCATAATAATTCAACCATTTGTATTTATTATATTAGTGACTAAAGATCAGATTGCCAAATATCATTATATATAATTTTTGCAAATGAATACTTAATTTCTTGGAAGGCATAGCTAAAATATGCGATAAAGTGACTAAAATACCAGAAGATGGGGTTTGCTTTCTGTTCAAGTACATATAAGGAAGAGAAACCTGGTTTCCCAGTTTCTGCTGTTTGAAAATTATATGGATGAATGGTTCATGAGGGACTGATGAGTTTGTCATAAAGCAGCCTAAAAACTGTTCCACCAAACAAACAATGTTTCTTCACAAAGACTGTTCTGGAAAATGAGTAACATTTTTTAAAACAAAGCCAAAATCCAAAAAAATGTGCCAGGGCGTTTTGAAAGCAGTTTAGCTAACTCAGTTGCTTCTAGAACATTAAGTTCTGGTGGGTCACCTGAAGAAGGCTCCACGGCCAAAACGTTTTGTTCTCTTTCTTCTTTTTTTCAGCATGGAATAAACCTATTACTTGTTCCTCTAGAACATTAATATTGTTGGTGAAATTATTTCAAGCTCATTTCCAACACAGAATATTTAACCAAGACATTTTATGCTTAGAAAATTTGAATGTGTTAATTCTAAATTCTTGTTAATTTTCACTTCTCTCCAGATACTCTGATCAGTTGGACAGTGCCTAGATCCATATTTCTATTGGTTCCCCTTTCAGTTCTTTTACTGTCATTCCCAGAACCCGCAGTAAAAGCATTAAGTACATCCAAAACATTAATAGAGTACTAGAAATATCATAAGGTACAAAGGTGCTGACTTCTAATTGACTGGATATTTACTGTTCCTTAGAATGGACATTTTATCATCAAAGTCCGTTTATCATGTTAGCCTTGTGTTGAGACTCATTTGTGTTATTGATTAGCTTCATAATAACAGACTTATTACACTGTAGTGAACCGTATTATTGAGCTCAGCCATGTCCACACATTACCTGAGGCTTCAACAGAATAACCACCAACAGGGCTATTTCTGAAAACTACAGGGGTAGGAGGAAAAGATCAGATGAATGTCAGAATCAGATGGTGTGAGATAAGAAACAAATACTGGCAGAAAGGTACACAATAGACTTTGAAACAAAACTCAAAGAACACAATATACAAAATATTGCATAACAAAGCCCTACTTAAAATCACAGGATCAAAAAGAAAAGCTCTTGTCAAGTCCCACAAAGCTTAACTGTTTAAAAAGAGAACATACATAAAGAACTAGGACTGTCAAGTTTATGTGAAATTATTTGCAGTGGAAAAGAATGCTTTATTAGTGCAGCAGAGCATGACAAAGTCTGGAGTAAACCTAACCACAGGAACAGACCAACAATGGTCTACCAGAAATGTTTAAGATGCAAATAGCTGTCTCTGCTCTCAAACTTTAGTCTTGGATCTTTCCGATCCTTCAAGTATGTGACAACTAATGACCTACTTATTTAGAACAAAAGAAAACAGTAAACAAATGGCCACCACTCACCCATTTCCTGTCGGGTGCTGCAAACCCCAACACCATACTCCTTTGTTGTGTCTGCCACCGTTTCTAAGAAGTTATTTTCTGCAAAGCCCAGATAGTTGTAGGAACCCATATTTATCACATTTTTAATTGCCTTCCCTGTGTGTCTGCAAAGAAAGACTAATGAGAATAGCATAAAATCTTAACCTTAACCTTCTTTTTTATGTTGTTACATGTAAGGGGGGCTGATTTTGGTCTGTGGGCACTCTGTGAACTAAATTCCTAGTCTTCTTAATTTGCAAATAACCATAATTCCTCTACACTGGGAAATAGTAAGTTATTCATCATTATTATAAATACTCTTATCCTGGATATGACAGTACATATTGTAAATACAAGCCAAGTATAAAAATATGTTTTGTCAAGTGTTCTATCTAGCATTCACAGTCCAATGTAAGTTATTTGCTCTGTCACATATATACTGTATAGTTATATAACTATATATCTAACAGAAGAAAACAAGCAGCAGAATTTTGTAATTTTGCAAAGATTACTGAGATTCTGTGGCTTGAGCAGGCTTTTTTCCACTTTGAAAATCCCCACAACGCGAACAGATATCATCATACAACAGGCCTATAGCAGAGCAATGTCATTAGGGGGATACATGTGCAGACTTAATCCATTACAGAAAATGCTCTGAGGCCTTTAGTAAGTAAGCCCATTAATAACCCAGTCACTTAGGAGTGCATGAGTGCTCTTCTGGCATTTTTTTCTATTTCACCAAGCTGAGGACCCACGATACCTGAAAGTCCAGTTGTAATCATCAGTGACCCTCTCCATGAGATCAAATACAGGGCCTGGCAGACTACAAATGGGTCGGTTCCAGTTGTCTCGGACTCTCATGTATAGATTTCGTGTGTAGAAATTCTCAAAATCCTGATAAAGTGGAACAAAGTCCTGGAAAATAAATTAAAATCACTTGAAGTCTGACCAAGTATGTATTTGCCCCTTCTTTAACATTAATTCTACCTCCTTCCAGTGGATTTCAGCCTTGGGGGATGCTAATAACAAAGAATTCAAAGTAACACAACCCTAGGAAACAGACCTTCAGTTAAGAAAACAAAAGACAGCCTATCTATTCCAAGGTGAGGGCTGTCATTAGATTCACATTAAAAGTTGTTTTGTTGTCCTGCTTAAGCATCTACCGTTGCTACAGCACAGCAACAAATGACGAAAGAATAATGGTCACAAAGTTCACACTTTGTCACAGAAGCAATAATAAAATGGCTTCACCAATTTAACGAGACAGGGATTTAAATGCAGCTGAATACTTTAAATGTGCCTGCTATAGATTTTATACAACCTCTTTAAAGATGTACTGACCTTACAGACAAGGGCAAGGGCACACCGTAAAAAGCTGTGCTTGTTCAGCAATGTGGGTAGTGGAACACTGAGTGAAGAGCAGTAAAGCCTTGTTGGAAATTAGAATGATTGACGTAAATGTCACCATGAGAATAAATGCCTTCAGCACATGCAACAAAACCTAAGACACACTCATCTGTTATGTCCCTTAAACTGTCAGCAACAGGAATACCAACTGTGCGTGTGTGTGCTGTAAGCAACACAAGTCAACAACATAAACATGCTAGGGACATTCAAGTCCTGCCATTCTGTCATCTTTAGAAGATGTTTAAGGCCAAGTAATATTTTCATTTATCTTGCTACCCCAAACAGATGTCTTGATTAATTTTCAGTAGATGTCTTGACTAGGAGTGTTCCTCCCCATCTTAACTACAAATTCCACCCAGAACTGAATTTTTGATGGGATCTTAAAAGAGGTTCACTATGAAATGAAGAAGAGCCAGCAAGTCAGCAACGAAGAACTGAAGAATAATGTGAATCTCACTAGGAAAGAATTGCAACTTTAAGCGGGTCACATCACTCTTTCATTTCCTCAAATTTAACTGTTATAAGTGGCTTTACACTGCCAGAATAGAGGGTTGGCGTATGGGAATCACTGAAAAAAAAAAACACATAAAAATGGACATTTCATATGATGTTTGTTGCATTAAATTTCTTATTCGAATAGCCATTCCCTATTGCCACACAAGAGACCATTTATTATGAAGTTATGTCACTTTGGGAGATTGAGATAAACTGACTTTATTAAATTCATTCCCGGCTGAAGCCAAAGACAATCTTTAGTAACAGGGTCTAGCATAAATGTCAGGGCTTGAAAGAAACAGATGAACCTCCATGAAAATGTAGCCAGCCCACATTACCTTCTGCTCCTCCCTTTCCTGTGCAATGTGACACTTCTCAAGGCCAATGGCTCTAAGAAAGTCTCTGAAGTAGCCAAAGAGTGTCACAACCCCAAAGCCCAAATAGGTGAGGACAGCGACATAAAGAGGGGCCTGTTCAAAGGATTCCTTATACTTCCACTTCTGCAGGTCTCCATTTGCAGTGCCATTTTTCTACAACAAAACCAGATAAGAAGAACTTATGAAAACCAATCCCGAATAAGTGGTGACAAAGGGTGAAAATGGGAATTTTGAAGACTCTCCTCAAACACTGACTTTAAATTACTGCTATTTAGTATGTAATCTTCCATGAAAACTTGACAAACAACTCCCAAAGAAGATTAATGATATATAATAAAATATTTTTAACAATTTGTTTATGAACATTTTTTTTTATAATTTTAAATTTAATACAAGATCACAGTGTTTAACATTTAATGAAAAACTTCTTAAATTCTTAAATACAGCAGGGTCCGAAGACTGAAAAGTACTATAGGTGTATTTTAAAAACTGAAAATCATACTTTAGACTTAACACTAAACTATGAAATAAAACAAGCTAAAATCAGTGAATACATAGTAATATGTCAATATTTCAAATAAGATTTGACATTTGATAGACAAGTCCCAGTTTCACACATGAGAAACAGAAGAATCACATATAGCAAGTCTTACTGTAAAGACACTGGTAATATATCTTCAACTTTATTTCCTAATCGTTTTAATACGTTACCAATAAATGTAGATAAAATATGTTACTCCTGGCCAAAACTGAAAGAAGACATGAAGTTTATTTTGCCCTGCCTAACAAAACAAACCTTTCCTTCCTCATCTTTGAATTTAAGGAACTTAACATTTTCAACTCTGACATACAGAATCAACTAGCCTTTTTCAGTCAAGAGCTCATTTAATTGTTTATACAGTACTGTATTTGGATCTCTTGTAGAAAACATTTTTTTCTGCTAAACTCCAGAAATAATAAAAAGCTACACAAGCACTTCATATCATTCCATTTCTTAGTTCTTTATGAATCTCAGACATGCTGGGCTAAATTGTTTGCCATATACGTGCAAAAGCAAAGATTGATTTTTTGCAATGCAGTCATCACCATGTGATTGTTCTCAGAGGGAAACTGTGGTTTCGGATACTCAATTTCTGATGTATGCTTGAATCTCAGATTCTGCATAAAATCGCAGAACTGCTTTGAGGGTTGAGGGAGTGATGTTTTTTGATCTGAGATCTTCAGTAAATTCAAAAAGCCATAGACAATATTGAGGCTAGCAGCTCCTGCAGGTAGTTCACCCAGCATAACATGAACAACCCACATATAAAAAATGAAGGTAAGGTTCGTGTTAGCTACACAAAAAATGAATGGCATTTCTTATATCAGCAAAACTGATATGGGAAATAGCTGATAAATGTGTGCATGGCCTGATCACATCGCTATACAGCATACGGAACAGAGCGTCAGTGTAGTCCCTTCTCCTGCTCCACAGGGATCCTTGATTATTACAGTGTGATGCCAGAATATCTCTTCTGTGACTGCCCAGAGGCTGCTATGGTGAGTGTTGTCTGAAAAACCTATTGAAATACTAGCCAGATTAAAAATGTTTTGTTTTTTTCTGGCAACATATACAGGGCATGTCAGCATCTCTTTAAACCTGTGGACTGGAACTTAGTAACAGCTTAGACTCAAGAGAACTACCACCATTTCCCAGCTCTTATGTTTTTATTGTTTGACTGTATATATTTTATTATGGGCTATAACACAGTCTCACACTGAGATTCATTTAAATTTTTAGAACACATTTCCTCATTTAGAACAGTATTAATTTCTTAATAATAATGTGTGCAGGCAATACAAAAATACAGACAACAAAGTACATATTCAATATGTTCATGCATATTGTGAAACATCCCAACAAAGTCTCCCATTGGACCAAAATGAATATGTGTTTCATTTCCTGGAAGAAAATGTCTTATTATGAGTGCTGCCTTAATTCGGCAAAATTATGTCTATGTACATGTTTTAATTCTTGAATTACCAAATATGTAAATGAACAAAATATAATGTAATATCCACATCTGTCCCATATGCAGATGTTGCCTAGTAACAATAAACTAAATTGAAAATGGGTGTTGCGTTAACAGGAGACATTTTTTTAAAGTGATAACTTGCCGCAAATAGACATGACATATCTATTTTTTACACCAGAAAGCTATTTCAGTACGCAATTCCTACATTTCTTATACCAATAACAATAATTTTCATAATTATCATTCGACTTTTTTAAAAAAAACTTTTAAGCTCCACTGCTCATACCTGCATTTCAGTTTGTCGACTGAAGTAGCACTTCCTCATACTTTCACGTTATTAGGGAAGCGAGTTGCTTTTCCTCACTTCTAAATATCGACTAAATATCGACTTAGTGACCGTTAAGCTTAAACCATTCACAAACATTGTCGAGGAATTGGCAGAAGAGTAGGTGCATTGCGTATCATGATTAATTACATATACAAAAGACATTTCTATGGAAACCGGGTTGGCTATTCCTTCTGACACCTTCCGTGAATTAATTTCCCAATTAAACCTGACAAAAAACACCATTATAATATTTGTTTTACGTTTATTTTAAGTTTGTTGTATTAACTGCACGATTGTTCATGGCAACGCTTACAACTTTAACTCCAAGTTAATATCTGGGTTGCCCTATATTTTAACAGCTCTAAATGAGTGTTAGGGCACCAGAAGGTTCACATTTCAGAGCTACTCACCTGATGGCAGTTTTTGCTGAATCCGTTTCTTGTAATACTGTCATTTTTTATGTTGTTCTGGTTTAAATTAAACTTTACGTTTCCATTGCGAACTATGTTAGCCGTGCTGGCCATGCTCATTCGATTCTAGATGGGGAGTGTTACAATGTAGGAAGTGGTGTCGAAAGCTGTTCGTTTTTTTAAATCTAACCTCAGGTACCAAACCTGATGTAATGTACAGTATAGCTACAAGGAGAGCGACCCCCCTCACGTCCTACCTTCCCTTTCCTTTTAGAAACTACAGAAGACACCGAATTGATCATTCATAGCTGATCCTTCTCTGTCGATCACAGCAACAGGTCAGACCTCCAGCAGTGACAGGTTTACCTGTGCTTGGAGGTTAAACAACAGGGGCGGCACCAGTTCTGCGTTGCTCGGAGAAGGCGGAAAGGTGTTGCGCACTTGAAAGACCAGAAAACTATTCTACCAAGACAACCTGGAAGAGATAAGACTAATACTTACGTAAAGGTATTTTCAAAGGAAAAAAATCGCGACAAGTTGAAATGTTAAGGATATTTTAAGGAGTAGTATAGCAGGTATACTGTATATTACACCGTTCTTCTAGCATTTTTAATTAGAATTAGAATTTATTACACAACACTTTGTTATGAGAGAAGTGCAATGAGCAATGACGCTTTCAATGGCCTTACAGTACTTACAGTTCAAGTAATACACTTTGTAAATGGCTAAAGTTCAAAGAAGAAAATTAATGCATCCTTCTATGAATATCCCAGCAGGATTTGTGTTTTCAAGAGGTTCTGCATAAAACCTGTTGGGTGACATAATTTACTCATTGGTGGACCCATCCCAAGTCAAAGCGTAAGGCATGATAAACAAAACTAGAGCCCGGAACATAGATCTGTAGTGTAGATATACTGTAGTAGCAAGAAAATCAACACTACTGATACATTCTTAGTTTCCTATCTGTATTTTTATTGCACGTTGTATCAGTGAAACATCGGAACTTTAATAAATTGCATTAGGTCTTCAGAAACCCAACTGAATTATTAAAATTATTTATTGTTGTTATTTATTCAATTTTAAATTATGAAGATATCCTTCTCTCATAAAAAGAAAGTGAAACAACAACTGTAACAAAGCAAAATGCAGATGGTACACAAAATAAGCCAAGTTAAGTTTCTTTGGCAGATGTTAACATCTTAAGAAGTCATTAACATTTTAGATTTGAGTTTTAGATTTCATTTAGAAGCTTTGTAACTTGTAAATAACTTGTAATATATTAGCACAGCATTAATAAAGCATCAGTAGCTGACCTATACTAATGATTAGTTACACTTTTACTAAAAAATATCATAATGCTGTTAGTACATAGTACTGTAATATTTAATTGCTCATATGTTTCCAGAATAGAAATATTTGAAATACCTTGCATACAGACAAAATGCCTGACATACACAACACAAAACTGTTAATATAGTAAACAATCCGGTAAAGTGGCTGAGAAAGGACAGTTTTTGTGTATGAATATAAAAGGTGATATCAGTGGGTTATAATCAGATAAAACTAAAATGAGATCCAAACTGGGATGTTATCAAAGGCTTGTGTGATGTTCATTCAAAGAAACTGTAACCAAAACAAAATAAAACAACAACAAAACCATTTTGATTTCATACCGTTAATGATTTTTTAAAATGATGTGTTGTATTTGTAAATCCTTTCTGTTAAATAAAAAGTTAGAAAAAAGTTGCTGCCCTGTCTTTCTCACACCTGAAGAAGGCTACACGGCCGAAACGTTGTGTTCTCTTTCTTCTTTTTTTCAGCATGGAATAAACCTATAACTTGTTCTATTAAAGAAGCCTGGTAGGAGCTGAGTCAACAGAGACATCAGAGTACTCGTTGTAAATTGTTTTAATTTAGTCAAATTTTTATTTTTGAGTTTAAAGTTGAAGGGTATAATGATTAAACCTTTGTGAAACTGATATTGAAAATCCAAATATTCAGTTTTTTACACAGAGCTTTAGCTAGATTTTTCAAAGTGCAGAGTAATTTCAAAATAATGACTAAGACTGTCAGTTTACAGTACCTATGACCTTGTAGAAGCTGTAGTTCTGGGTGTCAGCAGATTCTTTATGTTTGTCGATAAAGCTGTGGACAGGGAGAAGTAGAAAAAATATGACGTTTTTAGGTATGTTAGGAATTTTTACCTGTAGGCATCACTGCTCCAGGGAAAAAAGGTGTCATATCATATCATCAACTACTGCAGGGTTGTCCACACCTGGTCCTGCAGGGGCAATGTGTCTGTGGATTTTAATTCCAACCTGGTTCCTAGTGACATACTGTAAATGAGCTAATTATTGGTGCAATAGACCAATTTAACATTCTCTGCCAGCTTATCAGGTCCTACTGCTTTACAGAGACCTAGGAAACCAGCAGAAACACCAAGCTAGCAGGTCCTGGGTTGGGTGGACATTTCCAAACTACAGCTTTAGTAAGTTGGAAACCTTGGTGGGAGAGAATCATATTCAAGATCAGTTTCAGTTCCTTGTGGATTCATTAAAACGATTATCAGGTACATCACTTTTCTTTTCTACTTTTTTATTACAGAAGATGATGATAGATCCTGTACATTTATTTAAACTTTACTGGTATAGTCTGGGGGCAGTACAGTAATGCAGTAGTTAGCATTGGTGCTTCACAACATTGGGGCCCTGGGTTCAATTCTGGACCTGGGGTGCTTCCTGTGTTTGCATGGATTTCCTCTGGGTCTTCTCCCAGAGATTAATTGGCTTCAGGGAAAACTAGCCCTGGTGTGAGTGTGTGTGTCTGTGTGTGCCCCCTAATGGACTGGCATCCTGTCCAGGGTGTATCCTGTCTTGTGCCTGTTACTCGCCAAGATTGGCTGAGGTTCACCTACTGTATGACCCTTAACTGAATAAAATGACTACAAACTGGATGGACGGTATAATTTGCACTTAGTTGTATGAAAAAAGAAACAAACTAGGAAAAACGTGTAGTAGAGTGAGTGATATTTTAAAGAAAGAGGAACATATCAAATGTTCCAAAAACCAATAATCAGGGTCCAGAATTCAGAAGGTTTCGCATCTCTTTTAGTTATAAAAAAAGTTTTGCATCAGGGAGCAGAGCTGAATTGATCCAATTAAGGTTTTATTTGCATAAGTTTAAACTTTATCCACAAGTCATTTACTAGGGGTAGTCAGCCTTGATAATTCTACTCCAAACAAAAGATTCCAGACTTCAGAACAAAAATAAATAAAATATGGAACTGATCATCAATAGTGTAATTAATGAAGATTACTTTGATAATCAAGGATTAGTTTGAGCAAAGATTGGAACTGCCATTTAGTTGTAAACTGTCAATAGTAAACTGCCAATAGTAGTTGACAACTCTACTATTAAACTGTTGACAAATTAAAAAGACTCAATTAATTAAAGACTTGAAAAAGCAAGGGGCCAGAAAATTCGAGTTGGGAACTGCTGATATAACGTCTAATTTGCGATCTTTCCCAATATTTTCTTACTTTTAGTGGTTTGCATTTCTTTATACTCATTGTGAAATACATGTTTTGGGAGTCACATTCAGAAGCCTCAAAATCTGCAAACATAAAATGTTCAAATACACTAAAATGCTGTTAATGTATTGTGAAACTGGGACACATCATTGCTCATCTTGCAATGTTTTTAAGCATAATAGCTGCACCGCACATGAATCTTGTACACTTCCACACAACCCACTAGATGGCTGTATCGTATTCAGCTTAATCCTTTACTAAGTCTAATAGCAATTATCACAGAATAATGGAAAATCATGTCAGCAGAGTTTTCAAGTCACATGGTTTTTGCTCATTTATCTCCAGCTGTGACCCAACTCTTCTGAAAAGACATCAGAATGGATATAGTTAGAAGTGAAATAAAATACTTGCACAGTTGACTTTGAAGTGTATCAATCCTCCATTATGTCTGCATCCCTTAAGACATAGTTCAGTAAACATTGAGTGGAATATACACAATTATTCATAATTAGTATAAGGATTAATTTTAAAACAACCTAGATGAAATCAGATAAAGTGTAAATGTGAAATCCAAAACAGTTTCTTATCTATATGGCTCAATAACCATATACCGTACATAATGTGTTTAATTTTTACTTTTGTGTTCAAATTTTAATAGCAGAATTCTCATTCTGTATTCATTCAGTCACACACCACTTAACAGCACGCTGCATTGTTGGAAAACATTGTGTCAACCATGTTATATTTTAATTTGTAAAACCCATAAATATAAGCTACATTGCTAGTTCAGACCTGTCAAATATGACCTAAAGTTTCTAGACATGGTTTATGCTGAAGGGTGTAGCAGTGCAAGAGAAAGCGTGGGAAACATATTTTGGATAAACTATTATGTGTTGTAACAGAGAGTGGGTGAGTGGCTGATACTGCACATTTCTGGGTGGAGTTCAAAACGTTTACTGACTTTTTTGTTTTGAGTTAATTAAAATAATTATCAAGATATCTTTTTCAATTCAATAATTGAATAAAAAAATAAACATCACGAGAATGTATCTGCATTGACACAACTGCAAGCTTGAAGAGAAAAACTCCAAAGATATGATAAAAAAACAACAGTCTGAAGGCAGGCAAGTCATGAATCCAAAACTGCATTAAACCTGGTAAAAACGTACACATAATATTATATAGTATATTGCCCCACAATTTAAATATTTAAAACATTTTAATAATCCAATAATTATCAAATGATTAGAAATCATTGGCTAAATGTTTAAAGCATCTGTGTTCCTGGTTACATGGACCATTTTTTACTTTTAATAGTATTCTTATGAAGAACAGCAAAACTAAGACAAAAAAACAAGCAGGAAAATTTCCCTAACATTATTGTTACCTTCAACAAGAGGTTAATGTAATGAAAATGAAACTGTGTATGTTAACTAAAGTCACAGGATTAAATATGTTGTTTCATAGATCGCACAAAAATGTTGGTTATTTAAGTTGATTACAGGAGGTTCCCCCAACAGAAGTGTGCCATTTTAGAAGTCCAGTCATAATACAAATCAATACTCGTTATTTTTGTGGCATGTGTCCAGAATATTTTTTCCTGAAATCTTCATTTAAATTGCTAACATGCGTGGCTCTGGGAGATAATGTCCTTTGATGTGAACAAATGCTGTTTTAATTTGGAGCACTGTAGCCCTTAAGGATGTCTGATGCCATTAAAATATTTTGTAGACATTTTTACACCAGCAGAAGTAGATTTTCCCTCCTAATTACATGACACTTTTGCCACAAACATTGCACATAATATAATTGTAGCTCAATCCTGGCATAACACTGTCATATTGTCACCATTTCTGCATTCAACTGTCACTTTTAATTTAACAGACTAAGTTTGGACTTCACAAAACAGTGCCCTTAGCTGTCTATGGCTTGATTAGGGCTGGAATGTAACTCTTTATGTGGACACTGGATAGAATTCAGTGTTACAGCTACAGTACTGTAAAACACAGTTTCAGACCAGATCTGACCATCTTAATTAGCTAAAGACTGACAAGTCTGCTTGGCAAC